TATTTGCTTCCTTTCAAAGGTTACCAAGTTACTTATGAAGTTAATAAAGCAAGCACACCAAGACAAGAGGTGTTTGGTAAAGAATACAAAACATACAAGACATAAAAAATGGCTATAGTTATTTGGCTTATTATTTATAAAATAATAATAATTTGAAGCATTTTGATAGTGTGCTTCTGCTAATCAAACAAGTGTAAGAGTACGCCCAATCGTAGCACTTTTATGTGAGTTGATAAATCACCTTTATAAAAAATATATTTCTATTAATTTAAAGAGTGCCTTTTGCTGCTACTCTCGAATCGATTCTTTTATATATTCAGTATATAAAGACTCTCTCTATCTCTTACTAGGCTTCTTTTATTTACTCTATATGTATTATATTAATGTACTCTAAGCAATAGATATCCCTATAGATTGTGTATTGGATAATACAATTTATTCTTGTAATAAAAAGATATATATATGCACCTTTAATAAAAATGTATATCATATATATAGTATAACAATATTATCCCAAATCTTCAAGTCTCTTATAACTTACAAAAATAAAATCTCAAGGCTAGTGCTTTAACATACTATGTCTTTTCCAAGTTTAATTTTGAGCAGATACCCAAGTAGCTTTTATTTTGTACACGCATAAAAAGCAAGTGTTTATTTCTTATTTATTCTTTTTGAAAGAAAACAGATTATATATATAATTGAATAGTGCTTTTGTGAAAATAATTTATAATTTTGGCTAACAATATATGCTCATCAATATTATTAGCTGTATTCTACTTGAATAAAAAACATTGTGCCAATGAGTTTTAGTCTCTTGGATTGCATGCTTGCAGACACTTCGGAATTATATTACAAAAACCATAAAATGAATAAAAAAAAGGTGGGAACCTCGAAGTGTCAACTTAACTTAGAAGCACAAAGGAAAATGCATTGGTTTATGTAGTTCTTATCCGTGAGTAGTGCGTATTGAAATTCAGCAAGTAAAACCAGTTTCCTGGCTTCTCTATATTTTCCAGTGGAACACAGAAGTAAAAGGTCAAATGCGAGCAAATTGAACAAAAAGCTGTGGTGGGTTGTTTTGAAATGAACAGATAAAAAGTTGAGACAGCTATCTGGAGATGTGTATGACGTATACTGGGCGACTACATTGTTTTGTGGTTACAAAAAAAGAGCAACTGAGTCTGGCATATAAGTAAGAATAAATTTATGAAGTAATGATAAACGCCTTTACAGATTACAGGGGAGGCAAAGGTTAATAAATAACCACCATGATGTACTTTATGACTTAAAAATCAGTGCGAGTTTTTGTGGTACTGGTATAACCAGAAAATAAGATATGCTGGTACACATAAGGTTAAGATAAAGCAATATAAGCAAAATATACTAAATGTGGAGAAGCCCAGAATACTAGAAGAAAAGCAGGCTTCTCTGATAGAATACATATAGACATATAATGATTTGAGCTGATACGATCAATAGCATTAAAGACTGGAGTAAAGTCTACAGTAGAATTGAGAGATAGAGAGTAAGCAGAACAACAAAGAGAAGAGAGAAAATATATCAGATCTCCAGCGCATACCGATTCGGGATTGGCATGGAAACAAAGAATTGCTAATTTGAAGAGTTGAAGAATAAAAATTCTGTAATAAAATACTAAAACAGGAGTGAAGGAATTGATAACGTCTTGGGAGATGAGATTTATGAATAACATGTTATTTCTTGTAGCCTAGACCGCAAAAAAGAATTGACCGGTTGTAAATGAGTATTGATTACTATTGAGCCTGAGATCAAGACGGAAATATAAGTAATTTATTGTTAGCAATTCCAGTTTAATGGATCTGCCTTTACTCTATTAACTAATACATAAACTATTGACACGTAGTTTATTATTACTCTATATTCTTATCATAATATGACATTTACAATTATACATAGTATATATACAGTATATTTATAAAGCATCTACATACTTATCTTACTCTAGTAATACCTTATTTAGATACTACACATAAGTATACCTATAATTCAAATACACTACTCAAGTATTTGAGTTGGAAAACTCCGAGGCTACCAATAGTATGGATATTCGTTCTTGTCCAAAATCTCTGGCTGATATGACTGGATGACCGCCATATACATAGATATTTCCAGAAGAATAACACTTTTTAATTATGCTTCATAGCATCAATTACTTGGACACATACTAAAATATAATTTAGCAGACATATAGATACCAACAATAAATACTATTTCAAAAACAATTGAATTTTGTTACTTTTTTTTTTCTTTTGAAATAAGACATCATATATAAGCTATTATGAATTATATTCTCTATATTCTCTTTATCAATCTCAAAACAGAACGTTTAAAAGATTCTAGAATGAATAGTATAGACTTCTTCTATAGAATTTCCAAAAAACAAAAACCAAATAATTAGTTTCAAGTGAAATTAATGTAAGCAATATTCAGCCTAACACAAGTGTTCAGAGTTCAGAATAAAAGAAAGACTCCTATTGGTCAGAGCATATACAGGGTAGATCGCGTCTGTAAAAGAGTACTATATTGGGCACAGTATGATATCCATGGACTTTGAGAAGAAAAACGATTACGGAATGCTAAAAGAACTATAAGCTAAGCGGAATATTGCAAACCCACCAAAAGAAGGATATTATTCAACAAGAGACTTCCTTTTATTTTCAAAAAGAGTGTTGTTTATAAGATCAAATGCCAAGCTAATAAACCAGTCAGGAAATCCATAAAAGAGACTCACAAATATGGATTCTGCACAAGTTTATTGTGAATATTAGAACCTGTCATTGTCATTGTCAAGTCTTTGTTTTTATATAGCAATTCGGCAAGATAACGACTCTGTAAGCTTTAAACATTGGCCACTACAAAAAGAATAAAATGAAAAAGATTTCTGTATACAATTATAGCTAGAAAAGCAAAAAAAAAAATGATTGACTTCAAAACATAACTTGTGATTTTTTCCCATATATTAAAGATATGCTTTAAAGTTTTCAAATAAAGAATGTATATTGATAGTACTAACATTGGCAAGCGTCTGCAAGCATGCAATCCAAGAGACTAAAACTCATTGGCACAATGTTTTTTATTCAAGTAGAATACAGCTAATAATATTGATGAGCATATATTGTTAGCCAAAATTATAAATTATTTTCACAAAAGCACTATTCAATTATATATATAATCTGTTTTCTTTCAAAAAGAATAAATAAGAAATAAACACTTGCTTTTTATGCGTGTACAAAATAAAAGCTACTTGGGTATCTGCTCAAAATTAAACTTGGAAAAGACATAGTATGTTAAAGCACTAGCCTTGAGATTTTATTTTTGTAAGTTATAAGAGACTTGAAGATTTGGGATAATATTGTTATACTATATATATGATATACATTTTTATTAAAGGTGCATATATATATCTTTTTATTACAAGAATAAATTGTATTATCCAATACACAATCTATAGGGATATCTATTGCTTAGAGTACATTAATATAATACATATAGAGTAAATAAAAGAAGCCTAGTAAGAGATAGAGAGAGTCTTTATATACTGAATATATAAAAGAATCGATTCGAGAGTAGCAGCAAAAGGCACTCTTTAAATTAATAGAAATATATTTTTTATAAAGGTGATTTATCAACTCACATAAAAGTGCTACGATTGGGCGTACTCTTACACTTGTTTGATTAGCAGAAGCACACTATCAAAATGCTTCAAATTATTATTATTTTATAAATAATAAGCCAAATAACTATAGCCATTTTTTATGTCTTGTATGTTTTGTATTCTTTACCAAACACCTCTTGTCTTGGTGTGCTTGCTTTATTAACTTCATAAGTAACTTGGTAACCTTTGAAAGGAAGCAAATAGGGTGAGAGAAAATATGAAACGTGTGATACATACCTGTATAAATGTATATATATTTGGTTTCCTTGTTTGTACTTAGCCTGTTTATTTGCATGACTCCCCCCCTTATCTTTTATATCAGGACGGTCTTAATTTTTCCGAAAACGCCTTTCAAGGCCTGGCCTTTATAAAACAGTAGATACATTTAAAGGATACTACAATATAGCACTGCAAAAAGTAAGAGTATGGGTACTGAATGTAAGAGTTGGAAAGAAAGACCAGTGTTATATTTTAAAAGGGCCTTCTGTTTTCATTTTTCAACTTGTGTATATACAATATTATACTCAGGTACTTTCCCTGAAAAGTATTTGTAGTGACGAAAACAAATGATCAGCGTGACCAACACCACACAAGATGCATGCATCCATCCATCCTCCTCCCCCTATCTCCCCCAATCTTTTGATTGATGTATACTTTCAATGAATTTTATTGGACTAAAGTGAGGGAGGCGTCATCATCTCCCCATTTCTGTTTTTATAGCTAGAGAAAAATTTTCGCGTCTTTTGGTTTTCCTTTTTTCCCTTTTTCTTTGTACTGGCCGTGTCTACTGGTGGAGACGATGAAGAGCTTCTGGTAATATATGGGTTTATGTCCGGCCGGTCATCGTTTATACACAGAAGCCAAGAGGGACTTCCGATAGCCATGCTTCTTTTCTTATGAACGGCTAGCCAGATCACTTTAAGATAAGTATATGATTTTTTACGTTATGTGCGATGCAACTTTGAATACTAATTAATCAAAGCCTGTGGAGTAGGCGACTGTAAGAGTTCAAAAGACGTTCATAAAGCCTTGGCAATATTATTTTGTTAAGCTTGTTGAGCTGATTTTGGACTCTTACGACCGACCGCTCTCTCTTTTTGTTTCTTTCTTTCAAAAGGGCCCGATGGAGTAGTAGCCACGGGTCAACCATGGTCTATCGAGCAAGTCCACAAGCGCGCGTGTAGCGTGTGAGCCCGTTGTCCGTATTCCTGTGTATTACTGGTTGCTTTCTGTCGTCTCTTCTGGTGGGCGCGGCTGGTACCATCTTTTTTGGGTTAGTTCCCGTTGCTTGTTCCCTCCCGTTGCTTGTTCCTTCCCTATGCCTTCCACGGCGGTCCATGTTATTTGAAAGGTACTGTTGCTTGTTGCTTTTTTTTGTTAGTCTGTTGCTTCCGCCAGTGGGACTTTTCTGCCAGTGGGTTTGTTGCTTCCCACTGGTAGGCCCTTTCCTCCTACCAGTGAACCTGTCATCTCTCGCCAGTGGACCTTTTTATATAGCCGCCAGTTGCCGGTTGCCGGTTGCCAGGTTGCCAGTTGCCAGTTGCCAGCCGCCCATTTTCCTTCCACTGGCGGGTCCATTTATCTCACTGGTAGGAGCCATTTATCCCACTGGTCGGACATTTGCTTCCTGTTGCTTCCTGTTGCTTCTGCCGGGGAACTCGATGGTTCCATTTCTGCCGCAAAGTTGTCGGCTATGTCGTGTCCTCAAGACACCTCGTCAAAAGCCGATAAGGCTCACCAGAAGCCCAACAAGGGCGCCTAGAAAAAGGCTACACCAGCCCATAAGATAGGCCAAAGTATGCGCCAGAGCAAAGACCAATCAGGCCCACAAGACAGGCTAATGTAAGTGTCAGGAAAAGGACCAAACTATCTCAAGACATAATCTAATTGTTTTTGTATTGTTACAATGCAGGCTCCAAGTGCGCACCAGATAAAGGGCAAACCGGCCCACAAGAAAGGCCAAAGTATGTGCCAGCAAAAAGGGCAAACCATCCCACAAGAAAGGCCAAAGTATGTGCCAGAAGAAAAGGGCAAACCGCCCCACAAGAAAGGCCAAAGTATGTGCCAGAAGAAAAGGGCAAACCAGCCCCACAAGAAAGGCCAAAGTATGTGCCAGAAGAAAAGGGCAAACCAGCCCACAAGAAAGGCCAAAGTAGGCGCCAGAGCAAACATCAATCCGGCCTACAAGAAAGGCTAATGTAAGTGTCGGGGAAAAGGGTGAAATATATCAAGACATAGACTAATTGTTCTTTGTATTGCTACAACACAGGCTCCAAATGCGCACCAGAGAAAAAAAGGCTTTTCAGAGACCCTCAAGGTCACTGTCAAGATTCAAAGCCAAATCAAGATAGATAGTCAAAAAAGAAAAGAAGAAAAAGAGAAAAAAATATATAAAAAGAAAATGAAAAGATACAAAAAAAAAAGAAAAGAAAAAAGAAAAGAAAAACAACCAGAACAATATTGACCAGAAAAAATTGTGCTCACAATTATCTCTCTATCTCAGATCAAACCCCATAGTCACTAGTACAATCTCCAAAATAGTCAAGCCAAGGTCCATTGCTATGTCCAAGTCCAAGTCCAAATCCAATTCCAAGTCTTGTCCAAGTCCAAGTCCAAATGTCCAAAAACTGTCCAAGTACTGTTCTAGTACTAGTCCTAGCACACAAACATATACAAACAAATAGAGAAGTACACAATTAGAGAAGTAGACAAATACATACACACACAAACACACACAATTTCTATTTTTCTATTTCTTTCTTATACACACACACACACACACACACACAAACAAATACACACACACATACACATAGTCATAGTCATAGTCATACAAACATACATATACACACTTATATACATACATATATACATACAAAAGTAGAGGCGCATTTCTATCAAAGTCCAAAATCTGGGTTGTACCTCCAAGTCTCAAGGCCAAGTCGATTTCCAAGAAGGGGTCCAATGCAAAATTCCAAAAGCAAGTTCCAAAAAAAAACCAAAAACCAAAAATCAAAAATCAAAAACCAAAAATCAAAAACCAAATCCGAACTTGAGGCATATACTAAGTCCTCCACTTCAAAAGGATCAAATCCAAAAACCGAGGCGTAGACCAAAACCTATCAGAAATGATCAGGCACATTAAGTCCTCCACTCCAAAAGGATCAAATCCAAAAACCGAGGCGTAGACCAAAGCCTATCAGAAATGATCAGGCACATTAAGTCCTCCACTCCAAAAGGATCAAAAGAAATCCGACCCTGAGGCCTATACTAAGCCCTCCTCTCTCTCTCAAAAAAAAAAAAAAAAAAACAAAACAAAACAAAAAAAAAAAAAAAAAAAAGCAAAAAAAAAAAAAGCAAAAAAAAAAGCAAAAAAAAAAGCAAAAAAAAAAAGCAAAAAAAAAGCAAAAAAAGATGAACAAACCGGAAGAACTCTGCATTGGAACCTGGACCTGGATTGAAGCAAAGCTGCGAACTGGAACAAGACTCTGGATTAAGACAAGGTATGAAATCCCTTTTTACATATATACATACAAAGCAAATGAAGTCTTTGATCAAAAACAAAAAACAAAAAAAAATGCTCAAAAAAAGAAGCTCAAAAAAAACAGAAAGAGCAAAAAGAGCAATACCAAAACCCCCTTCTCTTATTCTTTTCAATATCAAAACCCCCTTCTCTTATTACTATTATGTGAAATTGACTGGACAAAAAAAAAGAAGTAAAAAAAAAATCAAAAAAAAAAATCAAAATCAAAAATCAAAATCAAAATCAAAAAGTCCAAATTATCCCCTTTACTATGTGTGCTGTGTTCGGACAAAAAACAATTAAAAAAAAAAATCAAAAAAAAAATCAAAAAGTCCAAATTATCCCCCTTTATTATGTGTGCTGTGTTTGGACAAAAAAAAAAGCAAAAAAAAAAAAGTCCAAATTATCTTTTTTATTCTCTTCAATATCAAAATCATCCTCTTGTTACTATTCCGTGAAATTGACTGGACAAAAAAAAAGAATCAAAAAAAGAATCAAAAAAACAAGAAAAAAAACAAAAAGTCCAAATTATCCCCTTTATTATTTTTCAATACCAAAATCCTCCTCCTCCTATCACTCTTAGCTTATATTGACTGGACAAAAAAAAAAAGAAGAAAAAAAAACGGACAAAAAAAAAGATCAAAAGAAAAATCAAATGGACCAAAAAAAAAAACCGACTGGACTTGACTGGAACCGACTGGACTCGACTGGACTAGCATGGCCTGGAATATCTTAGTATACTTAATTTAATTTAACCTAACTTATATTCCCCTTATAAAAATTTGAACAATAAATTTTGATCTCATTTGACTTTGATATTATCATTATGTTTTGTCTCTTTGATTTTGATCTTAAATTTGTCTTTAAAAAATATTATTAATAATGTTTTTGGTACTACTATATTACACTTGAGAGCTGTCTTATTATACTTGTGTTCCTTGGTAAGGTAGACAAGGTGTATTTTCTAATGAGACATTCATTCAGTTTACTATAGCACGGCGGGATTTCTTTTGATATCGCTCATTAAAATCAACTTTGAAGTGGTGGTGTAGCTGTAAAAATGACCCAACGTAGTTAACTAGCTCTCCTTAATTTGTTCTTTACTAAAATTGTCTTTCCACCAGTATTCATTTTCTTGCCACTAAGTTTATACTTACACTATATGGCTAACCTAAAATGTGGAATATTTAACATGGTACATTATAAGGCTGGATGTGAGACCCTGAAACGAATATAAGTAGCTAAAAAAAAAAAAGAACCTTACATTTGTTGCACTGCTTATATATTGGGACTAGATTTTGTTTAAAAGCATATTTTTGCAAAAACATGGTAGATGTCTTACTGTAGAAAGCGTTTAAAGTAGTTAGATAGCCACTCAAAAGTTAACAGACTTTAAGACTATAAGGATCCCATAAAACCTTTTGATTTTCAAATTTTACATATAAAAAATGTGTGTTATACAAAATGTGTACCATAGGTATAGAAGACTAGAGAAAAAAGAAGAGTAGAAAGATGTTTCTAGCTGCAGTTTATAAAGATGAACTGTGTATCAATATAGAATATTACAGCTAAAAAAATATTAGTAATAAGAAAAAATAAAGGACAAATTTTAACTTCTCAAGAGATACTAATGTTGTATTTCAGGTACAAAAATATTACAGATAAAAAATTTAATAGGGACGTATATAAATACTTTGAAGCGGTTTATAGGTTGTCTTTATTCATAAATAAGTAAAGAAACACAATCTGCTATGGCTATTCAACCTCTGGCTTCTTAAGGATTTCTTATTTTACTATATTAGGATACTAGATCGATTAATATTGGAAAAAGATATACACTCTTTCCAAAAAAAACAATCATTGATGCAAATCTAGTTAAGAAAATTAGTGTACTTTTTTATTCATTTCTGTACCAAATTGACTTTTATTTGTGCCTCAATAATTACTGGTAAGAGTGTGTGTATATATAACAACAACTCTTGCTTAATTATTTTCCTTTATTTCATTAAATTATCTGCGGATTTAATTTCTAATGACTGTCTGCCTGCCTCTTGTTTTGCTCTTTTTTTTTAAACAAGTGCACAGACCACCCTGGAGTAACCTGTAAATTACCCTTCTTGGACTTGTACTATGCTTCTTAATTCTTTGTTAGTATACTGATCAAAATCAAGTTTATCATCACCTTTATTTTTTTTACCTCTTTACCTTGCCTTACTTTTTGCTTGTGTGTTTTTAAAAGGAAATAAAAAGGATGTCTTTCAAAGTACTTTGCTTCACACATACGCATACTATATTTGCTTTCATTTTTACAGATAGGTGTGAATATATACAAAAGTTATAGTCAATCAAATGTATTCACCCAAGCATGCTTTACAAAAAAAAACCATATACCTCGTTACAGCTTGTACGCTCTAAAGAATTAATAAATATAATGTTCAGCTCAGCCCAACCCAGCCGAATCTTAGCAGTCTGAGCGAGAGGTCTGAGCATAACATTTGAACATGTACTCCAGCAAGAGATTTACTAACAGATTTTAGTAGTATTTTAGTCAAACACAATCATGATATTTTCGTATTCTCTTATTTACACATTCGACAAAATTAAGTCCTTTCGTCCCACAAGATATTTTTTGCCTCAAAGTCATTTCATTGAATTGGTAATATATATACATAAGCCCCGTAGTATAGATTTGACTATGGTATCTCTTATATATATATATATATATATATATATTAGTGATATTCCGAATAGTTTATCTATGCACATTACACACTTTGGTAACTCTGACTCCAACTCATGGATTATTATTAGTAAATCTTGCCCGTAATTTAGGTTCTTGATATGACATACCAGCAGCTCCTGTGGTGTATTTGTCGTTACCTATGTCTTCTTATTCTTCTTTTTTGGACAATAGTGCCAGGATTGGAGGTCATTTTTTTTTAATAAGAACATTGAGAAAAAAAGAGGGGGTGCAGTGCATAAATTTATTGCTCAAAATTGAATTGAAAATCTACTATAATAATATTGTACCTAAGGATCTCTTTTTTTTATCTATTGTGTTAAAGGTGAAGATCAAACTCTTTTTCTCTCTTTGCAGTAGAAATCTAACACTGGCAATTTCCGTTGAATTAAAGGCAAATGTGGAAGAAGATTTTAAATGGTCAAGGTAGAAAGAAAACCCCTACGTTCAACGTCCTCTCTTTTAACTTTCCACCAGCTGTTATATTCATTTTGTTTTAGTCTGCATTGGCTTGTCTTCAACTTGGTCTTGGTCTTGGTCTTTTGTTTGTTTATTTGTTTGTTCTTTTTGGCTCAGTACGGGTCTCCTTGTTTTATATAGTAAGCTACTGCTGGTATATTAACAATGGTTATCTCTACCGATGTAATGAAAATAAGCAGCCATCATCTATTTGGTTTGTCTGTCAAATTGTTTATTCTTGTCTTGAAAGTATAATTTAATATTAAGATTTATATTTGTGTGTGAAGAGAGTGGCTAATCCAGCTCTTTAAGCTTTTGCTCCTTAATTCTTTTTCTCTGCCAGTCTGACTTTATACGTGCGCAAGTACAAATTCCCACGAACACATTAAGCAAGTGATTGCTATTTAACCTTATGTTTTGTGAGATAAGATAGTCTATAGAACAGAATATTAATGTGATAATATGTGTGTGTATTACATGTTTGCACTATATATAATTCTGGTCAAAATGTGAATAAGCACCGTATATATATATAAACGATTGGAAGTGTATCTTATTCAAAAGTAGTATATATTTATATATCGGAAGTACGTCATTTACCCTATAGTCTCAATATACACATATACACCAACGTCTTCAAACTAACTTTCTAAAGCGTCTTTACTACATTCTCAGCCAAGCTGACATTCAATCCAGTCTTGTCGGGTTCAACAAACAGCTTCTTGACCTTGCCGTGCTCGACCACAGCCGCAAACCGCTTGAATCTGTGACCTCCGAGTGCAGCAGAGGCATCAAAGTTGAGATCCATGGCCTTTGCGAGTGCGCCGGTAGGATCGGCCAGGAGTTCGACCTCGCCATTGTTGTTGTTCTGCGACTCTCCCCAGGCAGTCATGACAAACGGATCATTGACAGAAACACAGGCAACGTAATCAATTCCCTTTTTCTTCAGCTCGTCAGCAAGCTTGATGAAGCCAGGTAAGTGGGTCTTTGAACATCCGGGAGTGAAGGCACCAGGAACACCAAAGAGGATAGCCTTGGGTTTGTCAGAAAACAACTTGTGGATGTCGACAGTGTCTCCGGGCGACTTGCGGGCAACCTCTAGCGAAGGAAGCTTGTCACCTTCTTTGATGGCACGTACACTGGATACGTGAAATGCTCGACGCGTAATAAAGCTAGCTGCACTTGTTCTCAGCATAATAATTATAATTTTTTGTAAGATATATATATATATCCGTTAAGGTATAAGACTTTAAAGAGAAAACAATAAAGAGGGAGAAGAAGAAGAAGGATAAAATATATAAAGAGAAAAAAAGAAGGACTTGATATTTTATTTTACAAATATAAATAATTCATTCTCATTTGTTGTATTTTATATATCTTAATTATATAAAATACACTCTACTCACCCATCAATTTTTCTTTTACACAGGAAGGGCAGGCCAAAAGACTTTAGGCAGTCACGGTGCCTTAATCGCATGGCCACAGAAAGGAATATCCGTTGCCTCTACAGATATCGCCGCTTATCTTGCCTGAAAAAAAAAATATAAATATAAAACATATAAATATATATATATATATATATATATATATATATCTATAAAAGCTATCTGTAGTTGATAAGATATTAAGACAGTTTGACTAGTGATAGTGGCTCCACTTCTCCCTCCCTCCTTTTATCCTTATCTACATTTTATACATTTTATATATATATACGTTTTCTTTATCAATACATTTTATATTCCTCTTTTACTTTCTTTACTTTTTCTTATTATGTCTTCATCTCCTCCATTTGGCTGGCAAAAACAATCCAATTCAAACAAGGATGATTCAAAAAAGAGCATCCAAATGCTCATGGAGTCATTTCTCAAGGAACACACAGCCTACGATGTCTTGCCAGTAAGCTACCGTCTTGTCGTTTTCGATACATCTTTACTTGTCAAAAGAGCTTTGGCTGCTTTGATGCAGAATGGTGGGTGCACAATTTCTTTTTCTTTTTTCTATGTGTTTACATACATACATACATATATATATATATATATATGCGTGTGTCATTTTCTCTATTATTCGTTTCATTTCTTCTTCCTCTTCTTTTTCATACAAATACATAAACACTTTGCCTCTACATATTCGGGTTATTTGTTTGTTAGTTTGCTTGTTTGGTTGTTTTCTTTTCCTTTAAAGAGAAATAGATAGATAGTGTGTCTTCCTCTTTTTCTTTTTCTTTTTATTATTACTTTGGCTTGGTTTGGGGTACCCTAGGTAGAGAACAGAAATTGCCCAATTCCCACCCCCCACCCCATCCCCTTTCTCAGGCATTGTCTCGGCTCCCCTCTGGTCAAGCAAGACCCAGAAATTTGCCGGAATGTTGATGGTTGCGGATTTTATCAAGCTTATCCAGTACTACTACGCCCACGCCTCTGACCCGGACACCCTGCTCGAACTCGACACTCTTCAGATCCAAGACCTGCGTGATCCGGGACGGCACAACGGGACTCTTGCACCCCAGCAGCTCCTCTCAATGCATCCCATGGCCAGTCTTCACGAGGCATGTCGGCTGTTGGCCGAGAGTAGGGCTCATAGGGTAGCTCTGTTGGACAGGGATGAGAGTGCATGCGGGACTGAGATGATCGTGAGTGTGATTACTCAGTACAGGCTGCTTAAGTTCATTGCTGTCAATGTAAGTTGAGTTTGCTGACAAAAGATCAGCCAAGAGATTTTAAAAAGGATAAAAAATAAATAAAAGGTTATATGGAAGGAATGGGCAGTGTTGGTGAGTGGGTAAATTAAAATATCATATATATATATATATATATATATATATATTCTCTTGTGTTGCTGCTTTTGCTTGCTGACATGATAATAATGTGGAATTGGCTTGGCAGTTCAAGCAGACGGATGCGTTAAAACAGTCTTTAGCTGATCTCAAGATTGGAACATATGGAAGTGATGTCGCAACAGCTACCATTGATACTCCTGTGATCGACATCATCAATACCTTTGCTGAAATGAATATCAGTGCTATTCCAATTGTGGATGAGAACGGTAATTATGGGCCAAGATAACGCATATGTTGAAAGAAACAAAAAATAAATTAAAGTCAAGAAAAGAAAAAGGGAGATATATTAAGTGTGATTGATACTGAATGTATTTTGGTATTACTTTTTATTATTCTTGTAGGTGTTGTGTTGAATGTATATGAAACTGTGGATGTTATGGTGAGTAGAATGTGACTCTCTTCTTCTTCGTTTATGGCTTTTGAGTTTGATAGTCTCATATCTGTATGCACCATTTAAACTGTCCTGATTATTACTAAATATATATATATATATTGAGTGTAGAGTATAGCAAAGAGTGGACTTTACAACAAATTGAATATTCCTGTTGGTGAAGTTATATCATCACGACCTACGGTAAATAACCATAGTACTAATAGTCATTTAGTCATTTAGTCATACAAAAATGGTAGAAATAAGAATGCTGTGTGGTTTATTTAAATATACATACATATATAATCTGGTGTAAATAGGACTACATTGGTGTTCACACCTGTACTATGGAATCAACCATTCACTCAATCTTTAATATGATCCGAAAACAACGTACTTATCGCCTGGTTATCATTGACGATGAAAGCAAACTTGTTGGAATTGTCAGTCTATCGGATATACTTGGGTACCTTGTAGGATATAAGCAATAAATAAGAAAGAGAAGAAAGAGAGATAAAATATTGATAGTTTAACATGTGGGTATAATATAAGATAATGAATAGAAGCTATAATTATGATAATTATGATGATGAACCAAACCATAATTTATAAATACAATAATTATATAAGTTTGTAAAGTTTATCAATATTGATCAATATGAAAGAAGGGGTTTCAGCAGTACTTTAATTTTAATATATTATTGCCTGAAATTGATCTAGAAAGGAAGAAGAAACTCGGCGTCCAATTATCTAACAAGGGGATTAATAGAAAGGTAGTAGGGATCGCAAAATTGTCAACTGTATACCAACAATATATATATATATATATATAATAGCAACAGTATATAGAATGAGGTTTTGCATGATAAGTCATTTTTTGGATGGTGCGAAAACCGCTCCCAAAAAGGCTTCGTAAAGGAAAAACGTGCAGATAGCCATTGTTGATATCCTTCCTTGAAGGTCTTGGACTTCACCAAAGAAACCCAGTGGGAAAAATGCATGGTCAATACGTAGTGCTGTAATTCCCTTGGACTCACTGGTTCGTGGATCTACTTTTCTCTACAGGATTTTTGGGTAGTATACTAATTCACTGCATCAATAACACTAATAGCAGCACCTATCATCCAAAACGAGGTCTGCTTCCGTGTTGTGGGAAGAATAGTCTAAATTCACAGTTTTTTTTTGTTTCTGGCCTTTTATATAGAGTATTAAATAAGCCTTAGGAAATGAAAGTACTTCAACCATATATGGAACATATAATGCCCATAGGGATAAATATTGATTGTCTTTATGTCTAACTTTGACACGAGTTCCAGACAAGGGTCTTATAAATATCTTTAGTTGGCAACTCTATGCAAGTATTATGTAGCTGAAAAAAAAACATGTGTTTTCTTAAGTTTCTTTCTATATTCAAAAGTCGTTGAAGATGAGGTCCCTTCTTTGCTCTCCTTTGTATCTTTTCAAAAAAATGAGCTTACTAATATCGAAAGAAGAATTGTTTGTTTCAAAAAAGAAAATAAAACTATCCGGAGAGAATCGGAAAAAAAAGAACAAAAGGGAAGACAATCAATCAGAAAAGGTTCTCACTTGTCTGCATCAATACCAAGTTTATTATTTTGATGGTTTAAATTGGTACAGGGAACAATATTGCAGCTTATTTGAGAGTATTGGTATTGAAATAAGCTAGAAGGGATCTGACAGGCAAACATGAGCTGGGCCCAGTGTAGATGGATTTGCACAGCAATTTTGAGAAACATTACGGGCAGCCTGGACAGCCTGAAAGTATTCAATGCTACTCATCATCAGTATGTCATGGCGGCACACATTTTTTGGATTGTGGATCAGACTTTGCAGCAATCTTACAGGTGAAAATATTTTATTGTGGGTTTTTCTAGGCCTTGCGCATTTTAGCATATTGGCTACCCGATGAGAGCTGAAGAATAAATGAAAATAATAAAAAGTAACCCCCTAAATATGAGGGGGAATAAAAAAATATGTAAAAAGTGAAGGATAAATAAAGAAAAAGTAGGGAACACGCATGACAGAAACAAAGATGAATAGTCAGCAAAACAGTAAGAGAGTACGTAAAAAAACCCCTGTGGGGGAAAATGGCTTTTAGAAAGTCTAAGACTAAAATAGATAATACAGCTAGTAATAATACAGGTGAAATAAATATATAAGAAAAATAAATGACACGAAAGAATCGAGAATAAGTAACTAGGTACTGACGGCACCAGAATTGGGAACGGATTTCAGCAGGGATAGGAGCTCCAAAGAGAAATCCCTTTTAGAAACTCGGACGATCCATTTATGGATCCAGCGAGCAGGTGACAATGGAGACAAACCAGGCAGTGTATCCAAGGCAGGGCCAATAGGCGGTGTGCAAGTGTCAGTCACAAGTGAGGCCGGTGAAACAGGAGTATGAGTCAACATTGGCGGTTCAGGTATTGTGGCCTTGCCCTTTGCTCTATCGGACTTTTTCCCACGTCCACGTCTAGTCTTTTTCGTTTCGACCTTCTCCACATATATCTCCATGGCTTCCACATCAGCATTGTCATTGTCATCATTATTTTCATCGTCGTCATTAGATGAGTCCAAAGCAGCTTCAATCATCGAAACAGTCATGGGGCGAACAGCAGGCACACATGCCTGACCAGGCCGGACAGCAGCAGATTTGTTACGACGTGATCGTCGACGTGGAACAACATTCACATCAACATCCAAAGAAGACGAGAGATTATCAATGGGGGTCAGGATAGGTGCATCAGCATTCACCAAGTTCAGCAAAGCAGTACGACTAGGGTGCATGGAGTCACCAATAAGTGGGAAAGTGACGATTGGTGAAGATGATGCAGCAGACGATTCCATCAGCGCAAGTCGTTGTGGGTGAATGGCAGCAAATCGTCGAGCAGGTGGAGGACGCAATGAAGATACGGGTGTCAAAGTGGCAGGTAGTGCGAGTGGAGGCGTGACAGGATGTGCAGCCACAGCAGAATTCCGGCGATCCTGGTCTGCAAAAAGACGAGCACGATGAGCAGGGTCCATGTTCCAACAGTCGTTCCAATTGACAGCAGAAGAAGACACATCATGTGAGGAAGAGGATAAATGCGAAGATGGAGGTGAAGCAGAAAGAGTAGACAACACAGTAGCAGGCGCACCATCATTGCAAAGTGCAAGTTCGGCAGTATCTCCAATAATTGAATTATCCACAACAGGCGCAGTCGCATTGTCAGCAGTGTCAGAAGCGTCAGTGGCATCGTCACCAAGTATATCGGCCAGCACATCACCAACAGGTGCAGAAGAAGCAAGAAGCAGAGGAGAGATCTGGGGTGATGGTGAGGGTGATGGTGAAGAAAAAGGTAGTGATGGAAGTTTAAGGTCAAGGCCCCGCAGAAAATTCGACGCTTGCTCGGAAGCAGAGACAATAATAGGAGCAGCAGAAGCAATCTGGGGATCATGAGCAACAGAGGCTAATGTTTTCGCAGGTGGTCGCGTGTATCGATGTCCAGTTTGTTGAGGTGAGCGGTCATTCAGAGTACGTTTGCCAAGTAAGAAAATGAGGGAAGGCTGAGGGGGTAGTGCAGGAGAAACAGCAAGAGGTGTTGCATACCCAGAGCTAATATTATCCTCAATCCCATCGTCAATAACAGAGGATGTTGTGTTATCCAAGGCCCCCAATGGTGTATCAAAAGCCTCAATAGGTGTATCATCCAAGTCGTTTTCATAATCAACACCAACGTCCACGTTCGCACTCAATGCAGAAAACGGATAATTGCCAACAAGAGAGAGAATGCCAGACTGTTGTGGTGAGTTGGAAGACGTGTGTAGAAATGAACTGATGATATTAGGATGTTTCCATATGCGCTTTTGACGAAGGTGTTGAGTAACAGTAGCAGAATCCCAACCAACAAGACCAATAATTTCGTGCAGAGAAGAGAGGTCGGTTCCAGCAAAAGGGAGACGCCATGTGCCTGCAAGGGCATCAACAAAACCAGGGTGTGTCTGACGATGAGCAACAATATCACAGGAAGGAAAGTATTGGTCACAACCATAGCAGATACTGTTGTCGAGGTCAACATCATCAACATCAGTCCCAACAGAACAGTCATATTTCACATGGTTGGTCACATCCAACTTTTCAACAGTGGCAAACCCACAACGACACGGACAAGTCCAAACGATCCGCAAATATCGTTTGTGCTTGAGAAGATGGTGTCGTTGCAAAGAGTAGGCCTCAGTGTACTGGCGAGGGCAACAGGGACAGATGAAGGCCTTGGCCGTGCTGATAACGGAAAAGTCGTCAATAGGGCGGAAATCGGGTGCCTTGCCCAAGATAGGTGGGACACGAACAAGGTGAGGCTCCACATAAGATGTGACACAATCATGGTGAATAAAGTCGTCGCGAGTTGCAAAAGAGTGAGCACACTCATAGCATTTCCAGTCATTGACAAATTTCCGTTTGTGTTTGTGAGAACCATGCAAGGAGAATGCGCGTGCAGAGAAGAATAGTGTATGTTCGGTGGGGGGGCACAATGGACAACGGAAAAAATCAGAGTCGATGTACCCATCAAAGTGTTGGGTAAGAGTGGCGGACATGGTGGCGGAAAATGGTCGGACAGAGAAAAAAAAAAGGAAAAAAAAAGGATACCAGGCCCCAGCAATAAGCATTGTCGAAAAAGAAAACGTATGAAAATGTTGGAAGACGAGGCTGAAAATTTCACAGTAGTTTGTTGTTGACGAGTAGATCGAAAGTGTGTTAATGGCCAATGCCGAGTTACTTAATAATTAAAAGGTGTTTTTCAACGATGTTGACAAGGTTGAGATGAGCTGAGATGGCGGAATCACAAGATTTTCGGACAGATGTTGAAAAAAAAAATATGTTTCAGTTGTCGCAGAGATACACTTCTTGTACCAAAAGATAGGTCTTGACGAGGTTGTTCTTTTGTATTAAGTGCAAAAAGTATGTTATTTTGATAGATTATGAGTATTCGGCAAAACTATTCCGCATCGGGGAATCGAACCCCGGTCACGACGGTGAAAGCGACGGATCATAACCACTAGACCAATGCGGATTACATGATATTGATGTAAAACGCAAAGTAATGTAGAAATAAAATATGGATTACTGCTGAATCTGAGAGTAAGACGAAAGGATAAAATAATATAATTATATTTTGAAATAAAGAAGTAGAAACAAAGTGCAGACAAGAAGTACAGTGAGACTTTGTTTATTGATGAAAAGAGAAATGATCTTCTATTACTATTTGTTATCTGACTTTATATAGACATTGCGTGTGTATTTGAGATAATGATACGAGTATATCATATGATATCTGTTTTCTTATATCATAGATGATATATTGTTAAGTTATTACCCACACTCTTATTTGAGTGATTAGTGATGTTGACTAAGTTGTGTGACCTTGTTGTCAGTATGTTATTCATTTAATGATAGTGTGAGAAATAGATACTGGTCGCTTCTTCAATATGTCTGTTGTGAGGAGAAAATAAAGCAAAATACAATATAAATAAAAGAATTTATGAGAACTTATATAGGTTGTTTATTTCAAAAGAAAAATAAAAAATAATAATAATTCAATTATTTTTCTATACAGAAATATCTACTGATATTTATATGTTTTTTCTAATTTGTAATTCAGTGTATGCTTAAGTAATCTTTATCACAGTGAGTCATCTTCCAGAAGTATTGTTCTTCTGGAAATATCAGGAAAGACTAATTGATATGATACTTCTCCAGTCAGATCAGTCTGAAAGTTTTGGTAAAGAAGAATATTTATGCTATTAGTAATGTTTTACTATTTCGAGCCAGATACTCGGATAATGTTTCATAATATCAAATAGTTGTAGTTACAGTCTCTCAATTAAGTATTTGTCTAATAAAAGAAATATGTACATAAAATATTGTTGTATTTGGGATACTTTAATATCTGATATCATATATGAACCTAGAAAGAAGTACCTGTCAAAGAGGTTGTTATAAATGATTATCCAATATAAAGTCCTATTTGAAACATAAGAGCAATGTGTCAGATCCATCATTGGATCATTTTCAAGAAGTAGTTTAACTATTATTGCAAAGTCATTACAATGACTCATATCCAGGGTGACTAGATATATCTTGTGGTATTTCAGGTACGAAACAATAGAAAAATAAAATATTTGATAATAGAGACATATAGAAATACTTTGAGACTGTATATAAGTTGTCCTTTATTCATAAATAAAAAGTGTCCCTTTTTATAAGAAAACACAATCTGCTCTTGTCATTACGTCTTAGTTTCTTAAGGCTTTCTTCCTTTACTATATTTGGTTATTAGAGTGTATTTACTGCTTAACTAGTGTCGGTGTTACAATTATGACATCAAGTCATAAATTGTATTTCTTTAGCTCTTAGCTATTCTTTTCTCTTTTATACTAGAGCTTTAGGGCTTTCTACTAAATTAGCTCCATATGGATCTGACACAGTTTACCCGGCAGTATGATATAATTATCTTAACAATCTTTAAGATATTATCTACAGTACTAACTGTAATAATTATTGGGCTGATTACTTAATCGTTTATATATATATTATACTGACAAGATGATAACTACTACGCTATCCCAATATGAATATGTTCTTATATGTGATAAATCCAACATCCGAGTGTCTGGATTACCACAGAACATACTAAGACAAATACTAAGAATCTAGTCAATAATACTAAAAACATAAGAACTAAATCATAGAAGATAATGGTAGAGAAACAGACATTACATGATATCATCATATCATCATCAAGCTAAATACAATGTCTATATAAGCGCATAATACTAATAGCAATAGAACAACATCTCTTTTCTGATTCTTTCACTTCTTCTAATAAAACAAAATCTCATTGTACTCTTATATGCACTTGTTTTATTTTAAATCTCATTTTTTTCCCATATATAACAAATGGTTGCAAAGATACCATCTGAAGATATTAGTGCAAAAGTCCATGTACTAATGACAACTGACAACATCCCAGCTCTGGAAACAATGGCTTGTAATGTGGACTATATAAGTAAGGATGGCTGCTGCATCTGCCACGTTGTAGGCCAGTCTCCTGGCCATGACCAATATTTTCAAATGGCCTCTACCATAACCATGCGTGCATCAGAAAGCTTCAAGTAATTTGACGAGGTAACATTATCAAGCAAAAAAGAGTTAACTGGCCAATCTCCATCCTCACTACTGAATTCCTTCTCTGGTCCGTTCTTTTTTATATTGGATGAAATGCATGGCGTTTGTCACAGAATTGCGAAACAGGTTTGGGGGCTTGTGTGTGACAAGTATAGAAAAGATCATTCTCTCTCTCTCTTATGCTGCTCAAAAAGAAATTGGCACTGTAATGATGTCAACTAGAAGAAGCATTCTGGCATCTTTCTATGGTGCTTAGATAAATGTTATGACAAGATCAAAATACTTCTGGGCTGTGGACTGGGTCAACTTCATCTTGTTTGTTATCTCCACGCTTGTGGTAGAGCATGTCTGCAGCCAAGTTGCCCACAAGGCGTTGCATGATCTTATCCAAACAGGCAACCTACTCATAAGCTGGGAGTTATCAGTAGAGAAGAAAACCTTGATCAAAACATAAGCTTTAATTATAATTAATAAAATTGCTTTATAGCTTGTGTTAACTTATCTTTTTTTTTAGAAATCTCATTGCATGGAATGTATATCTGGAAGCCTTTCTAGCCAAAAAAGAGGTTCAGCTCAAAGTCTTTACAATTAATCAGTATTTTCTGCAGCACTATTTTGCAATAATAGAAGCATACAGTCAAAGCTCAGTATAGTGATATTTGATATAGTGATAATTTTTTGGAAAATTTGGGCCCGTGTCTGCTTATTATTACTATTTTTCAATATATTTTTTTTGTATTGTTTATTAAAGAAATTTCATAGTCATGTGCTATCTATCTAAAAGAGTGAGTCTTCTAATTCTATTTTTCTAATATTTAAGGTAGTGATGGCAGCTATTCGGTTAGTGACAAAAGGAACATCATGGAAGATATGTTGGAAGTGAGTGTCCCAAATGGCCCCTATTGTGCATCCCAGAATACTATAGGCGGACACTGTGGTATTTTTGACTTCAACTGACATTGGAGAAGAAGGAAGGAGAAGGTGGTCAAACGTAAGCGATGTGGGATATTCCAGGAACCGGGTTGCAATTTGATGCCAAATTAACTTTTTATGAGGGCATGCCCAGAATAGATGTTCATCATCTTCCAGTTCGCCACATAAAATGCATTGTGGGTCGTCTACAACCGTAACGTTATGGCTAAATAGCCGCTGCCTACTAGGAACCTTTCCATGCATCAATCTCCACCAGATGGTATAGATTCTAAGAGGAAGACGTGATTCCCAAAAGCTACGCCAGTTTACTGGTGCTGCATGTGGGAATAGGGGTGAGACTTGGGTGAGGGGCGGTCTTATGTGTGCACGGATCACTTGAGCAGAGAGATTGCGTATCCGTGGAACTTTTAGTATCCCAGAGGAAAGGAAGCCTTGAAAGTGGCAAGGTGGAGTCGGAAAGAAGGAGGCCATCACTGAGCCAGGCTCTTGCAATGGAGAAACTGTGAGCAGAGAGAACCACTCCTTCAGTCGGAGTTCACCATGATCCAAAAGGGTAAACAGCGTGTCTATGTTAGACCTGGCTTGTCTTCGTTCATACTGGTTGAGTCGACGTATGCATCCAAGAGTGTAGTCATATATGAATGCATTACATACACGTAGTTTACCGCAGGTAAAGAAGAGTGGTAGAGGATGAGATGGGGCCAGAATCGTGCTGAGAGGTAACTCCTGTACAGTGACAGGATTTATGACAGTCCAGTCAAAGGAGAGAGGAATGGTTTTCATAGCACAGAAGATTGTAGGAAAGATACTAAAGGTGTTGAGGCGAGGTGACCGCAGCTCAGGAAACACCAGAGGAAGAAGTGGGTCGGTTGTATTGCAATACTGCCTTATAAGGTATGCCAGTATTTTGCCGGCAAAAGATAGTGGGGCAGTCTGATCGAGCAAGGGGAGGATCCATCTGGTTTGCAGTAAGGAATATTGGGTCTGAGGATCCAGGATGCCAAGGCCGCCTTCTCATCGTGGACGAGTGCATAAGTCAAATCTAACAAATGGGTAGCGTCCATGAGATAAAAATTTAATTACTTCTGAACGAAGTCTGCTTATGTCTGCCGTATTCACTGGAAGGATGTGTATTACATGCCATGCCCTACTCAGAAGAAGTGAGTTGGCGACTAGCCCTCTACCAAGAACCGAAAGGTTTCACTGTGCTAAAAATTGTGCGTGGTTACGGATCTTTGTAATTACGTCTTCAAAAGCACAGGATAGTTGAGTCTTTGAGCTGGTGAGAGGGTAACCGAGATATGTTATTGGCTGCGAGCTACGACTATCATGCCATGAAGTTATTTCGTGGTTCTGCAGATGAGAATTCCAAGTCTGTTGTTCACGACCAGATAAGGAGACTGCAACTGTTTTATATCTATTCATTCTGGCATTTGACGCACGGCCATATACCTGGGGCTGATCCATCAGGGTGTCGAGCTTGTCAGGCGTGCTCAAGAACACTACTACGTCATCAGCATATGCTAAGAACTTAATAGGTGGTGGCTCGTCTATAGACTGGGGCAATAAAGGGAGGCCATTTGAGATGACAAATCCTTTGAGTTGTTTGGTGGCAAGGATGGTGCAGAGTAGAGGTTCGAGGGCCAGGTTGAAAAGAAGAGGGGAGAGTGGATCCCCTTGTCGCAAACCTCGCCCTTGTTTGATTGGAGCTGACAGATATCCATTGATATTGATACAAAGTGTTGTGTCAAAGAAGAGGGCTATGATGGCGAGAATGAAAGTGGAAGGAAACCCAAACCGAAGAAGGCATCGACGCAGGTACTCAGAGTGAACTCGATCATAAGCCTTTTTTTAGTCAAGTAGTAACCCGATTCTGGGTAGTTTGTATCTTTGAGCCGTATCCATGATTATTCTGGCGACTATTCCATTATCTGCAATGAACCTATTTCCCAAAAACCCTGTTTGGTATGGGTTGATAGTGAGTTTCATCGCGGTTAGAAGGCGTGATGTGATAAGGTGAGTGAAGAGTTTGGTGTCAGCACATATCAGCGATATAGGCCTCCAGTTGGACAATGAAGTAAGGTCTCCCTTTTTTGGCAGCAGAATAACCATGGACCGTTTCCATGATCGCGGAATTTCTTGATGTTGGAGAGCTAGGTTAAAGACTTTGACCATCAGACCTTGGGCAAATTTGTGCTGGAATAGCCAACGAAGAAGTTCGTATGGTATACCATCTACGCCTGGGCTACTGCGAGTGGGGGAGTGATTAAGGGCTCTCAATATGTCCTCGGCATCCCATTCTGCCGTAATATTCTCTCCCTCTTTGCTAGGTAGGCAGCTGGAATCTGGAATATTGGCCAACAGTCACTCGACGGCATTATCATTGATGGTTTTGGCAGCATACAAATCAGAATAGAAGGTGTGGGCGCATTTAACCAGACCATCTGGGGATTTGGTTAGGCCACCATTTTCTTGCAGTGCTCAGATGTTCTGTGCCTGTCGGCGTTCTTTCAAGCATTGGTAGAAGTAGGCATTTGAGCATTCTCCATGTTCGCGCCACTTATGTCCTGATCGAAGTGCTATGATGCGGGCATCAACTTCTTGTTGGCAGTCTATCTGATGCTCAACTTCAAGCAGCTGTTGATGGAGGACTGAGGAGGGATCGTCGTCTAGAGAGTTGGGAACGTATTCTTGTTCTTCTGTCAGTGGGGTTGGTGAGGTGTGGGGTTCGTCCACAATTCTATGACTTTGTGGTTGGCTAGTCCCTAAGTATTCCTGAGCTACCTCTTTGTTGGAGATATGTTGCGTATGCTGTGTGTGTGGACGACTGTGTGGGTTGCTTGGGTGTCTCAATTGTGAGTCACTTTGAGACTGACTGTGCAGCTGTGTTACTATAGCAGATCGTTGCTCCAGTAGTATCTTCTGCATAGTCTTGGCTTTGTTTCTAGCTTTACGACTATGGTCTATAGCCATGGCTTTCAAATTAGCCTTTATCAGGTCCCATTGGATGTGAGGTGCTACATTAGAAATCTGTGTTTCTGCTGCATCAAGGAAGGTAGTCATTGTGTTGCAAAACTCTTTATCAGACAGGAGGTATGGGTTGAACCTCCAGATTCCAGGTCCATGCTGAGGTGACCCAATTGAAAGTTGGATGCTGATACTGAAATGATCCGTCCAAGATCCGGCAACATATTCAACCACAGGAGAGTGTACTGATATCTTTAGGTCGTTTGTGACAAAAAGGAAATCGAGGGTTGATCCAGTGGTGAATGTTGGGAGTGGCGTGCAGTTCACAGGAGTGATGGCGTCAAACCAATGGTGGGATAACCATTGGGTCCATGCGGTTGGAAGGGGTGGGGAGGAAGTGAGTCTTGTGTTGTAATTGAGATCTCCAAATAACACACTTTTTGGAAGTGGTGGAGAACTAAAGGCTAGATAGTGATCTAGAAGAGAGTAGAAGAGAGGGCGTTGCTCTGGGTGGGCAGGTGCATAAATGACAAAGAAGTTGAGCGGGTCATGTATTTTATGGACGTGGTGAATTGTGGCAGTAAGCAGACGGCTGTCTGTTAGGTGTGTGGGGTCGAAGGAGTTGAGATGTGGTTCTATATGGTATTCGGGGTTAAAGGAAACTAGACCACAGTGATGTGACCATGTGCTAGATTGAGCTTGAAGGAGTGTAGAGATGGATGATTGCATATTTTTGGTGTCAGTATGCGATTCTTGGATGGCGAGGATGTCATATTTTTGTTGTCATATATGGCGGGCGAAATGTCGACCAGAGGTGGTCAGCATCTTTTTTAAGCCTCTGCAGTTAAGTGAGGCAATTCTTATATGGCTAGACATATTTACTGCCCTAAACCATCAGTGATGATGGTCTTGTGGACAGCTGAAGGATCTGGGAAGAGTCCTTGGGTGGGTTTGTTGTTTTGGTTTCTTTTACCATTAATGATGAGAGTGGGGTCAACATCATTTCTCAGTCGGGACTTCTGGCCAGTCGCCTTGGGTGGGTTGGCCATAGCTTCATTAGTCATTATGGTGTCTTCATCACCTGCTAGTCCTCCTTGTGCTTCTGTAGTCGGTCCGACTGTAATTTCGCTACTCTCAGTTATACCTTCGAGACTACGTTGTTGTTCTTCAACGAGGGCAATCTTGTCCTCAAGTGCATTTTCACTTTGCACAAGTGCCTCTTGCATTTTCGCATTTTCTCTGACTAGACGGGCCAGTTCTTCTTCAAGCTGGCGGTTGTTATCTCCATTCTCTGGTGAGATAACTTGAGGATCTTCTTGGCGTTGACACTTACGTTCCTTCTCAATTGTTTTGTCAGGACATTGTGCCCGAATGTGGCCTGGCTTTTTACAACCATAGCACAGGCGAGGGCTCTTCGTCCTCTTCTCACAGTTTGCTTTCTTATGGCCCTCTCCATGACAATAATTGCATGCCACAGGCATGTTCTGCCACTTGGCATAAATCTCTCATTCCTCACAAAAGTCAATCTTGTGTGTTAGGGGAATGTATTCAATCCCTTCCTTTGGAGCAGTGTCCAACATGACAAAGCCTTTGCCCCCAAACAATTGAAACTGAGGGTCCATATAAAGACCAATATGAATCACTCGACCGAAATGGCCCATGACTTCTTGAACTTGAGGCTCTAATTTATCTGCCCTGCGGAGAGGCAACTTATCAAGGTGTAAGCGAAGGATGTTGCTATCCCCACCAAATGTAGGGGTGGCTAAGAGAGTTTGATGTCCAATGACAACGCCCTCTGAACAAGCCCTGGGCACATCTTCAATAGTGTCAAATGAAATAATTGCTATATTTCTATCTCTACAGTCTTGACCCAGGGCCCCTACTATGCTAGGGTACTGGGACTTTAGGGCCTGAAAAAACTGGGCAGCGTCTAAGCCACTATCTGTGATGTCAAAAACAATAGCATTGTCTTCATTCGACGAAATCCACATTTGGTTTGCCTTTTGCTGGGCTAATTCTGCTTTTGCAGAAGCATCATCAAAAATGGTTACTGGCTTTCCTCGGGCTATACGAGCCTAATTGCCAAAAATTGGTACGGGTTTGGCAGATTGTGACAATGTTGACAATGAGATGTCAGAGGGGGAGACCGTGTGTAGATGAGTGGGCGAGCCATTAAGGCTAGGCTGAGGTGAAATCCGTGGGTTGTTGATTGTACTATGCATAGGATCAGGCGGATTTTGTCATCCATTTGTTGTTATCATTTTTCTTTTTTGGAAGCAACCACAATACGTGAAATAATCTATTTTTCGATATAGTGATAGTGATAAAATTTGAATCCACCAGTATCACTATCACATCCACTGATTTTTTTTTTCATTTATGGTAATTTCAAGGGTGCCGAATGATTTTATTGGCTTAGCTAAAGAATAGTTTTACGGAAATTCATATAACCGACACAAGTTAATACCAATTAACGTTTTCTGACATGAGTACCCCTGAGGGATTGAACCCACAGGACAGGGCACACACGTTACGGCAAGGTAACCCACCTAACCGTGCCCAGTCTACAACACTACGTCCAAAGAACAAATCTTTGCACATCTTTACTGCTCCCAACTTTGACAAGAATATGATTGTGGATCTTGCATCCGCTGCATGGGCTAGTACCATCCATCCAATAAGTGTCTTGTTTAATCTCGGAAAACTCGTTCCCACAAGGGACGTGGATGATGTTCTCTCTGACCGTGTAGGCCGGATGACCTCTCTCACTCTCCGTTATACTCGCTCAAAAGACCTTCTGGCAGAAGCCTTCTTTACTGACCCTTCCTCCCGCACCAAAGCAACGTCCGATGGGTTGACCTATCAGAACACCCGAATCATTGCTATACCAAGATTGCCTTCTAACAGCCACATTGTTAAGGTTAATCTTTACCGTATTAACGCCTGCGATCCTAGCACAGATCTACTTGAGCCCATCGAAAATGCATTCCGGCCTTTTGGCAAAATCGTTCAGCTGAGAGCTTATCTCTCACACCGTGGTACTTTCCGTGGTGAAGCCACTATCTATTTAGACACCTCTGGACAAGATGAAGTCCGCAGTCTCCCAAGCCATCTCCACCTTGGTGGGTCTCTTTCCTGCCTTGCTGAGCTCTGCTCCACCGATATCACACCTGTGTGTGGATACTGCCGAGAGGAAGGGCATTATCTACACTCCTGCACAAAACGTCCTCCCCGCGCACCTCGCTGCCAACGATGCGGTGTTCTTGGTCACGCCATAGACAGTCGCAAGTGCCCCACTCATCCAGACAATATTGAAGCCGAGCGGGCTATCCAAGAGCAGCAGCAGATTGCACTTGCCGATACTGCGTCCCTTCGCGCACACCAATACTCGGTCGCTATGATAGAGACACCCATACCACCAGTCACTTCATCAACCTTGACTCCTACCCATGCTTCACCCATTCTCAACCCACCTGCTACATACACAATACGTTGCCGTTCCATATCAGTGATGAATACTCGCGCCATGACAACCAGAAACCGGACCCCACACAACGGCAATCCCCCAATTTCATTTGATACAACTATGTATGACCCGACTGGCCGTGGGCTCAATGCCAGCAAGCACTCACCAGGCGCCCGAGGCCTACATAGTCGCGATGATGGCATTAACCCAGCAATTTACACTGATGACGAACTTCGACAGTCTCTTTTTGAGGCCACTCTCCAGACTCGCGCCCAAGGTGCATTCCCGTATACTGATCTGGATGGTAACACACCTATGACTGATGGAACTGAAAAGTCTGACCGCTCAGGTCAGCCAAGTTCATAAATGACTGTACAACATCTTCACATAGGAACCTTGAATGTTCGAGGTCTCCTCTCTACCATCAATAACCCGCAATCCCCAAAACTTCTTTTCATCCGACACCTTCATACCCTTTCCCCTTCCCTTTCATTACTTGCTCTCCGAGAGACTCATTTACTCCCTATACATCACTCATCTATTCACCTTACATTCCAAGCACAGGCCAGCCTATGGACCCCACATTGCGGCCTCGTCTCTTTCGATCCCCTCCTCCAATTATCTCAACTGCATGTTTCTCCTGACAACCGTGCACTCGTTGTCAAGGTTACACATACTGACCATCGTGTTAATCCTTTTGTAGTTGTGGTTATTTATGCACCCAACATTCCTTCCCACCGGCATACTTTCTTCTCCTCATTAGCACGCACTCTCCCTACTGTCATTCCTTCCCTGCCCACCTTTATTCTGGGGGACTTTAACTGTGATCTTAGCCATCGTCGCAGCCATCCACCAGACTGGAAAGGATACATTCAGGGTAATTGCGTAGATGCCATCACTAATTCTTCTTCACCCCCGTTACCCACTTTCCACAGCTCTCGCACCCACACACGCATCGACTACATTTTCCGTCCACACAGCATTGTTACCAAACGCCCTGAGGTAACATTTATCAATCCTTTATGGACTGACCACTGCCTTCTTGCGGTCTCCATTCCTTTCTCTTGCCCACCAGGTCCTGGAGTCTGGAGGTTTAATACGCAATATCTCCTGCATGATGAATTTGATGCTCTCATTACCGACTTTCTGGATAAGGCCGACTCTTTTCTCTCTCCTGACATGTCTTCCGGTTCTCGGTGGGATCATATTAAGCATGCTATCAAACAGCTCGCCCTAACGTACTCTAAACGAGTTCAACGTCAACTCCGAAATCAGGAACGCCATCTTCATCGTGCTTGAAATGAACTTGCAATTCATACTCATTCTCCTCAACTTCTCCGCATTGAACATAAGCTTGCCACCATACAATTGTCTCGGGCCTCCACCTTGGCTGCCAGATCTGGTGCTAAATGGTGTGAAGCTGGCGAGACTTCTTCGAAATATTTCTTTTGTGTGCTCAAACAGCAAGCCGCTGCAAAAACTATCTCCTCTCTTGTCGACCCTGTCACTGGCGCGATCTACACCTCTCCCGCGGATTTGCTTGGCCATACTCACTCTTTCTACCAATCTTTTTACTCGCTGGAACCCATTGACTATCCTGCTGCACACTCTCTTATCGACAAATTCCCACCTTCTGCCCGTCTGTCTTCCACTGACTCTGCCTACCTCATTGCTGATGTCACCTTGGATGACATTCTGTCTGTCCTTAAAGCCACCCCCATCAACTCTAGTCCTGGGATGGATGGTTTGCCCTACCCATTATGGGCTCGGCTCTTCTGTCACCCAACGGTCCAAAATCTTGCAGTTCAAGTCTATAATAATGCATTGCATGGTGTTTTTCCTCCATCTTGGCTGGAAACCGTACTTGTTCTCCTACCAAAAGCCGGTGACACTACCTCTCTCCGCAACTGGCGACCTGTATCTCTTATAAACTGTGACGCCAAGTTGTTCACCAAAATGCTTACGTCCCGTTTATGATATGGTATCGACACACTCATAACACCATTCCAAATGGGTTTTATGGCAGATCGGTTTATTGCTGACAATGGTTTGCTGACACGCCTTGCCATGTCACATGCACAAATAACCCAAGACCCATTTGTTGCCCTTCTTTTGGATCAGAAGAAGGCCTATGACCGTGTCCACCCTGCGTATCTTCGTCTTGTCCTGGCCAGAGCCGGTTTCCCCACAATTTTTGTTGACTCCATCTGTGGTCTCTTCTTTTCTACTCAAATCCACGTGAATGTGAATGGGCACATATCTTCTTCTTTTCTACATAGCCGGGGGCTACGTCAAGGTGATCCTCTCTCCCCCTTGCTGTTTAACCTGGCCTTCGAACCTTTGCTTAGATCCATTCTCGCTTCCCCTGCCATCCGTGGTTTCCGATTTCTGGTTCCGCCATCTCTCTCATCGTCCTCTCCTGAGCTCTCACCACCTCCACTCAAACTTCTTGCTTATGCCAATGACCTTCTCGTCTTTCTTTCTCTGCCTGCCGAGATGAGTGGTCTACTCAACCTTTTGCATATATTTGGCTTAGCCTCTAACGCGAAAGTCAATCTCCATAAGACAGTTGCTGTTGCTATGTCTGGACAATTTCATCCGGATTGGGGCCCTGTATTGGATGCTGCTGATATTCACAGTCGACATGACCGTCACTCTGTCACTGCCATCTGTTACCTAGGCTTCCCATTGAGCTCACATCCGTCCCAGCTTGAGACCTTCCGTGCGGCTTTACTGGTCAAGCTTAGGAACCATTGCACACTACTTTCTCAAAGATGCTTGTCCGTTCGTGGTAAAAGTATTGTGGCAAACTCACTTCTTCTCAGCTCAGTATGGCATATGCTATACGTGACTCCTGCACCGCTATCTTTCTTTGCTGCCATTCACACTCATATTCGCTCATTCCTGCGACTAGGTTTCGGTAGCCCTGGCTGGCCGCTTCTCTGTCTGCCACACAAATCAGGCGGTTTGGGCCTGATTGATCCTGATCATCAACAACGAGCTCTTCAATTGCGCTGGATTCTCCCTATCTTGCATTCTCACTCTTTTTCTTCTACTTCCTTTATACTGCCATACCTCGAATTTATACTTCCTCTAAACTTTCGTGCTCCTTCTGCCAGTATTGCACTTTTGTTTCCCTGTAGTAGTGCAACTTGCCCGACTTCACTTCTTCCACTGCATCGCGCTTGTACCTCACTTCTTCCAGCTTCTCTCCCATCCAACTTGCAATTGCCACCAACTGTGGTCCAACACTTCCCATTAACTTCAATATGGATGAACGTGCCACCCTTTGTTGACTCTTCTCTGAACCTGAAAACAATTCTGGTTTCTGATGCATTTTCTCTGGAGACTGATGACCGTCTTGTCCGCAAGGTTCGTGGTACGTTTTCTTGGGCACGTAATCGTATCGGTCATTTCTTCCAACAGATTGATTCTGGCAGGATGGTCCTCTGTCCTTGGTTTATCTCTTGCCTTGAACATCGACCTTCTACTGACACCCCTTCCCCCAATCTTTCCTCACTTCTTTCTTTGGTACGGTTAGACAACACTAGTTTGGGTAAAGCTAGCACCAGATCTCTTCGACGCCATCTTTGCCCGCAAGTGCCCTCATCTCTAAATTCGTCTGTCCAACGGCGTAAATTCTGATCTGTCTCTATACCCCACCACTGTCACACAGTCTGGTGGAAAATGCTTTGGGATAGAATGCCAACCCGAAAACGTCTCAATCTATTTATATCTCGACGCTTCCCCAGCTCATCTTGCATCTTTTGTCAAGATGCTACTGAAGATCAGTATCACTTTTTCTTTGGCTGTTCTATCAAACGGCAGGTGTGGAATGTCATTCTCTCTCGCTTTTGCCCGGCCTAGAACCTTGCTGAAATCTGCCTTCTCCTTACCAGAGGCAGCTTCCCACCACGTTCCTCCCATCAAGGCCTTTGGATTATCCTTTCTGCTGTCACTGCTAAAGCGATTTGGAGTGCTCATTGGAAATTTGTTTTTGATGACCAACCCTTTCTGTCAGGCGTTATGGCACAAAAAGCGTCCACTGTAATAGAAAAACACATCAGTACACTAGCTTAAGTATTTCCTGTCTAATTTCCTCTCCTGTTTCATTCCGTTTTTTTCTTATATTTTCGTATTTCCTCCCCCTTGTCCCTCTATCTCTTATCTGTTCAATGAAGTCCACTTTGATGGCATTTTAAAAGCTGCACGCAGAGCATGACAGCAGATCAATAAAATACTAAAAAAAAATTTATTGGCTTAGAGAGTGAATCTTTAGTTTAACATGTTTAAATTCAGAAGTAGCTGCACGAAACGACTAGAATTGTAACAAAAAAGGAATGGCTGTATTTTTTCAGAAAATTATTTTAATTTCAGATAATACAGGATTTTAAAATGGGGGGAGAAATGAAGAGGTCTGAAAAAGAAAAGATTTTATTGGTCAAAACCCATTGGGAAAAAATTCATTTTTTTTTGTTAAGTCATTTTATTTAGTATGCAATTTTGGCAATGTTCATTAACATCCACCAAAACACATCAAACTTCTCAACGTTAAGCAGTTTTTCTCTGCTATTGTTGCCATGCTGCAAGAGAATGTCTATAGCTTGGACAACTTCAACTTCTTCTTCACAAATCTCCAGGAGATGGCCAAAAGGAACAACAACAATGTTATGCACATTAGCAGTTATTACAGAAGGAGTGTATATGCATTCAATACTATTGCTAGGTATCATTTGATACTTTTGCATGTAATATTTTTTAACAAAATTATTCATAATGTCTTGTGTGGAAATTGTTTTGACCTGACCAAGAAAGATTTGACCATTTGCTTGAAAAACACCTGCAAGTGTATCGCACAAAGTGGGAGTCAGCAAACCAGAATTGTCACTATTAGGCCGTGACCCAAAGAAGTGCCTTCTGAATTCAGGAGATACAGATAGTTCCTGTACATATTTTCCAGCAGTGCATCTCACTTGCTGACTTGTTCCATTCACGTCTCTCATTGCATTGTAATATCCGCCATTACACAAATAATGGCAAATGAATTGCTTTCCAAATCTGAGAGCAACATCTCGAGAAGTTGATTGTCTGTTAGTTTGGAAAAGATGCTCACAGATGAACTTATTAAATTGTTCACCGTTCTCTGTCTCGTATTGGAGAACTAATCCGAAACAAACGATGTCTTTAGCTATGTGATGGAGGAGGTGAACTTTGGGCTTGAAAGTGAGACCCTGCTTAGTGTGCTTGCTCTTTTTAATATGTATGTCCAATGCAAGGAGTAGGTTTGTCACTTCATTTATAGCATGTTTTATTAGGACAATGTAATAATCAAAGTCTTTGCTTATTCCACGCATGTACAACAAAGATGACAATTTAGCAACTGCATGGAGAGTCTTAGTAAGAAGTTTGAATTTGCTATTTCCAGAAAAAAGCACTGTCATAACGTTTGGGAGAACTTGCATCAGCTGTTTGTAGTTGCGCCCAGCAAACAAACCATTATGACGAAGCTAGTTTCTGAATCTTCTGCTATAACTCTTGCAGACTCTGTAAGAACTCAGAGCTGACTCAAGCCTTGCCATTTCTGCTGTTGACATTTTCGAGAACTTAAGGAGGTAAGTGACCAGATACTGTGATAAGCCAAGCAGGATGGTGTGAAGAATTTCAACAGGCATGTCATTTGTTGCATCAAATGCTTCAAGTCTGAGAAATTCTTTGCTGCCATTCTTACTATAGTTTAGGTCACACTCATGCTTATACAATTTTGAATCTGTATTGGCAGTGGCAAAAGCATTTAAGAATTCCTTTGTTCTTTTTTCAGCGCCATTATGGTCAACTGGAAGATAAGATATCTCTGGCATGTTGTCTTTTTGAGTGCTTCGGGGTGCTTCTAAATGGCCTTTCCTGCAGAAATGCTTTCCTGATGTTCCACTGTGCATAGCAAGTTGCGATTGCCAAGGATTATCACCCATGAACAATAACAGAGGAGCAACGACCAGAACATCTTCATCATGATCTTTGGAGTACATCACAATTCCTTTCTCCAATTCCACAAAATCATCAACAATTGGGGGCAGCATCTCGACAGCATTCAGCACATGATTCGAGGTGGAAATGAACATCACATTCTCTTGATTATTTCTCACCTCAAGAGGCATCGCGGCAAAATACATGAGATAGCTGTTGTACTTGTTGTATTGCTTTGAAGAGTTTCTGGAAGTGTCGTCAGAATACAAATTCAGTGGGCAAATAACCACTTTCATTAACCTGCCTCTGGGAAGTTTTATCTTGAATCTTTCAACAAAGGACGTGTTGAGCCACAATTGAGACTGAATATCAACAAGAGTGGCATAAACAATCTCAGAAGGGCAGGAAGAAACAGATAAATCACACCCAAGAAAAAGATTGCTGTCTTTCTGAACAATAGACAGGATCTTATCGACTTCAATAGTATACTTAAGGAGGGAGACAGCAAAATTTGTGGATCCACCACACGACCAGATGTAAGCATCGTCACAATGACTTAGCATAGTACCATGGCCACCATACACTTGGAAGGCATTGGCATATGTAGATCCATTTTTTGTATAAAACTTCTCCAAGAAGAACCAATTTGACCACTCTTGTACTTCAACAACACTACCTACCCAATAATCCGAACCTTCGGATGTAGTCATCAGGTTTTGGAACATGTGATTTTCCTTCCACTTGGTGCCTTGGTTGAGGTTCAACCGTTGATTTTCAGTGAAATCAGAAAGTGATGACACCTGTGCCGTTTTTCCTGGACATGCCAGAGTATGTCTGAGATACTCAGACGGTTTGTTTATCGAAAATTCATGGCATTGGCCTTTTCGATTTACAGCAGTGCATGTTGTTGTCGGAAATACCGGGATCTCATTCTTCTTTTGCAAGTGATAGTTTATCACTGCGTCAGGCTTCGGAAAATCCAATTTCTCCCCAACTTCCTCACGAGCCTCTGTTATATTTGTATGTGAAAAGATGGAACGATAAGTACTTTGAGACTCTTTTTTATTGTGTTTATTAAAAGTTCAAGTCAAATCCAATTGTCTTAATAAAAGTTATTTTATCTATGATATTTATATTTATTGAGATATATCCAGTCACCCTGAATATGAGTCATCGTAACGGCTTTGTGATAATAGTTTAAGTACTTCTTGTTGTATCCAACATCATTGTAGATTCAAATAGAGTGCACAGACAATAAGACAAAGACATATTGAATAAGCGACCAGTATCAATTATACATTATTTCTCACACTATCATTAAATAAAGAATATACCAATAACAAGGTCACACACCTTAGTCAACATCACTAATCACTCAAACAAGAGCGTGGGTAATAATTTAACAATATATTATCTATGATATAAGAAAACAGACATCACATGATATACTCATATCATTATCCTAAATACACACGCAATGTCTATATAAACTCACATAGCAAATAGCAATAGAAGATCATCTGTGGTATTTCAGGTACGAAACAATAGAAAAATAAAATATTTGATAATAGAGACGTATAGAAATACTTTGAGACTGTATCTAAGTTTTTTTTATTCATAAATAAAAAGTGTCCCTTTTTATAAGAAAACACAATCTGCTCTTGTCATTACGTCTTAGTTTCTTAAGGCTTTCTTCCTTTACTATATTTGGTTATTAGAGTGTATTTACTGCTTAACTAGTGTCGGTGTTACAATTATGACATCAAGTCATAAATCGTACTTCTTTAGCTCTTAGCTATTCTTTTCTCTTTTATACTAGAGCTTTAGGACTTCCTACTAAATTAGCTCCATATCGATCTGACACAGTTTACCCGGCAGTATGATATAATTATCTTAACAATCTTTAAGATATTATCTACAGTACTAACTGTAATAATTATTGGGCTGATTACTTAATCGTTTATATATATTTTATACTGACAAGATGATAGCCACTACGCTATCCCAATATGAATATGTTCTTATATGTGATAAATCCAACATCCGAGTGTCTGGATCACCACATCATCTCTCTTTTCATCAATAAACAAAGTCTCACCGTACTTCTCATCTGTACTTTGTTTTTCTTTCTTTTCTAAAAATATAACACTTCTTGAAGATGATCTAATGATAGATCTGACACATTGCTCTTATGTTTCAGATAGGACTTCATATTGGATAATTATTTATAACGACCTCTTTGACAGGTACTTCTGTCTGGGTTCGTATATGATATTGGATATTAAAGTATCCCAAATACAACAGCCTCCAACAACTTCTCCATCACAAACATGATTTTCTTGATAGATCTTTCAGAAGAAAGATCTTTATTGTCATGGAACAAGGCATGTAAGATAAATGCTGCCTTGGATTTGAAAGGACTGGTATATCCAGAAAAACCCTCAGAATTGTTTTCTTGATGGTAGACTGTTTGTGTGTTGCTATCTCCATCCGAATAGGCATTCATGGTCGCTGCTATAGGGTTAGCACCCATAAAAACCGCTCCCATTTCAGTATTAAGGACCAGGACATCACTTTCAACATCAAAGTCTGTGCTTTCCCATCGCTTGACATGACTTCTTCATCATCACAAAAGTACTGGTCAAGTAAGTCATCACAAGGTTGGTCACTATAAACAATTAAATAAGTGGTAAGCATTTGTATTTTACAGTATTAACTAAGAAAGCTCACTTTGGTATATCATCCTCACTATCATCAGAAGTACACTCGCTATAGAAATTCTGAGGTGACTCTAAGATGAACTCCATTTGCATAGACATGTTATCAGTTTCTGGGGTGATGGCTGCAGATGAAGACGGTTCTCCCAAGTTTACACTGCTAACATTAGAGTAAGTTCAAAACTGGCTGCATTTTTTTTAGGATTTCTATAATATGAAAGATTACTAACTTTCTTCTCAAAAGAATTCTTTCATATTCCTCGGTTTCCTTTGGATGACATTTATTAAAATGTCTTCTGAGGCCATTCAACGTCTTGTATGTCTTTGGCTTTGGGCAAACGGTGCATACAAGTTCTCTGTTTGCAGTAGAATTAATGCTGAGAAATTTATTTCTCTTTGTGGAAAAAGTGTTCTGCATGTTCGAAATATTGAAGTGCAAGAGGTAGAAAACGCTAATTAATTCCATGCCCACAATATCCTTAATTATGCCAAAAGAAGACTACTAAAAAACAGCCCCACTTGAGAAGATACCAGATAATTTTCTTTGTTTACTTGTATTCTTTTCTTTTCTTTTATGTTTTCATCACCGTAAAGTAAGTCCAAAGTGTAATCTAACCAAAAGTTATTCTTCACTACATTTAAAACACTCAAGTAAGTGCTCTACATAATGTGTAGCTTTTTAATTAATATTAATTCAAGCTTTTTAATAGATTAATAATTAGATTGCAACATGGGAATGTAATAAAAAATTACATGAAGATTTTTTAAAATATTTGTTAAGGCTCATAAGGTATGTACTCAAAATATAACTTAGCCAACTATGATCTTCACTCTAATTATCATGCCAATATTTAGGTAAACTGATCATAATATGTTTCTATCTATCCAATATCAAGGTAATTTCAATAGCTTTTGTTGTAAATGAGTATTGACTACTGCTGTAATTGAGAATAAGTCTGAAGGAAATAATATAAGGCCTCAGCTATTCTAGTCAAAGGTGTCTACCGATTACTTTATTATTTAACACACAGGTTTAGCATGCATGATAGTGATTATATTTCATATGATGATATCACCATAATATGGGATACATCAGTGGATTATTATAAGCATAATTATAACTCATAAACACATTTACTTTCGATGTTAATACTTCATTGGGACTACACACATTTATATAATTAATCATACATTAATTATCCCAAGATCACGTTGCTCTGATTAAGGCTCAGATAGGATCGATTACCTGACCCCAGTCATATAATTTTCCCAATCCAAAACAATATAAATAGCAGTAGTAGTTCAGTGTAGGAACCTCGTCAAACTTTGATACAAAATCTTTCTCAATAAACAAAACCTACACAAGTTCTCATGAATCTTCGTTTCTAATTTCAAATCTTGAATTCTTCCTCTTAAAAACTTCTTCAACTTCAACCACCACAACAGCTTTTATTAGCAAATGTCATTTTAATAATTTATTTTTTTTCTTTCACAGTTAGTTTTCCTATATCTGGCTTTTAGAATATTCAAAGCATTGTTTTATTCTATGTATGCTATTGTTATATAATAGTTGCTATTGCAGAGATTCTATTATTGTAGAATAGCTACTATTATATAGGATGCGTAATTGTAGGATTATTATTTTTTGAAACTAATAAAATATTTTTTGAAACAATTTTTTTTCTATAATTTCACTCTCATCATCTGACCCCCCATATTTTCTGCTTTTGATAAATCGCTTTTTGAAAAGGTTCTGTGTTTCCTTGTTCCGTATAAGGAAATTTAGTGCGACCAACTTTATTTCAAAAAACGGCAACTGGTCTTTAAAAAAACCAGTGGGTGTGATATCGAGCTCTGAGTTTATTTTTATACTATAAAAAAATAAATGTAGTATATATTTTATTTAACATTTTAAAACAAACCTAATTTCTTAGACAAAATACTATGAATCCTATTAGAAAACAGTAGTCACTCACAGCTACATTAGAAATATCACTAAATAATACATAGAGTAAGAAAAAAACACGCTCGATATAGTGATAGTGATAAAATTTCTGTCCACCATCCATATCACTATATCGAGCTTTGACTGTATGGTTTCTTCGGGGCATATAGTGCAGGATCACTAGTAAGGGCAATTGGAGAATACTTGTGAGAAATCAAAAGTAATTTGGCAATTGGAATCAATGCTGAGAACATCATGCTTGGCTTGACGCAGATTCGACAGATGAGAATTAAAAATTCAACAATGACAACTGCAACAGCAACAGCAACAGCAACAACTCTCCTTCAGTATGATGATTCCTCTGCTGGTAGCCCAATTGACTGAGAGAGTAGTAATGTTGATACTGATTCTGACATTGAGTTCTGGGAGTCTTTGAGGAACAGAATAATTGTTGATAGCTTTGAAGGCATTTCTTGTCTTCTAGAACATCTTTAAAAGTTTTATAAATCAAAGAGAGAAGAATGTAACATGATTGAAACAGCCAGTAAAACAAGCCATAAAGCATTTGTAAATAGTTGTATTATAGACTCTACACTTGACTATAATTGTGTAAGAGAGGCAAATAACGTCAGACTCTAGGTTCAGGTTGATGAGAACCGCAACATTGGGAAGAGCTATTTTCTGATCTACAAGGATTTCATTGGGAGGGCTGTGATTTTCTTTGAGCACAAGCTCAACAACAAGAGGTGACTGCTTGTCCTTGTCAATGCTTATGTAGTTTGTTTGGTAAATAGTATACCAGCCATCAACAATGCGCAAATGAAGCTAAAGGTAGTTCACCTGGCAGATGTCAAAGAATTAGTTAGTTTGGTGAAGTCAGACACAACTATAAACACAATAACAACAACAGCAACAACATATGTAGTGTGATCAGAGCTTAACTGCGGCCTAAAACTGTTACTTGATTCTCTTGCAGACCTATAATTTGTTTTTTTTTCTTGTAATACATTTTTTTTTCAAACTGTCTTAACATATTCTATCCTCCCAGCAAAAAGTTTAAATATTTTTCTCTTTTTTACCTCTGACTTTTAATAGTCATCAATTGTAATCTACATTTACAAAAAATGTAAGATCTGTAGTTAAAATGTACTTTTGTCTATCAGAAGATTTAATTTTAGGTGGTCAATCTGCTTTTTGTCAACCTTTTCAAAAAACAGAGATTTTCCTGTTTCATTTTGAATATTTGGTGATTCTTTTAATTATTATAGACTAAAAACAAAGCCACAAATGCAAAAAACTGCCCCTATTTGTTGTAGTGTCAAACCTTTGCTCAGCTGGCTAACTGCCAAGAACTCTCTTTCAGAATTTGATTATTCTATCATTGACTACACTGACTAACCTCCACCACCACCTATCGAATACTTAGCTTATGCAGATGACATTCTTGTATTTCTTAAGACATCATCTGATCTTGATACTCTACACAGATACCTGGACACATATTCCAGAGCCTCAAATGCATAGATTAACATGCATAAGACACAAGTCTTCTCCTTGGCTGGTAACTCACTTCCAGAGTGCCGTACACACCTACAACAAAAGCTTATTATCTCATGGTATGTGTTGTGGTGGTTGAAGTTGAAGAAGTTTTTAAGAGGAAGAATTGAAGATTTGAGATTAGGAACAAAGATTCGTGAGAACTTGTGTAGGTTTTGTTTATTGAGAAAGGATTTTGTATCAAAGTTTGACGAGGTTCCTACACTGAACTACTACTGCTATTTATATTATTTTGGATCGGGAAAATTATATGACTGGGGTCAGGTAATCGATCCTATCTGAGCCTTAATCAGAGCAACGTGATCTTGGGATAATTAATGTATGATTAATTATATAAATGTGTGTAGTCCCAATGAAGTATTAACATCGAAAGTAAATGTATTTATGAGTTATAATTATGCTTATAATAATCCACTGATGTATCCCATATTATGGTGATATCATCATATGAAATATAATCACTATCATGCATGCTAAACCTGTATGTTGAATAATAAAGTAATTGGTAGACACCTTTGACTGGAATAGCTAAGGCCTTATATTATTTCCTTCAGACTTATTCTCAATTACAGCAGTAGTCAATACTCATTTACAACAGTATGATCACACTTAGCCAACTGCTCTTACATACTTGGACTTTCCATTAATATTATCTCTTGCACAAATAGATCAATTCTATATCTCACTCTTGAATATAGTTGACTCATCCTGTAGCATATACCTGCAACAATCACTCTTGGTTCTAGGTCGAGCTACTGTAATAAACACATTGATTCTTTCCCATGTTTGGCATGTTCTTTGAGTAATAATGCTCCTCCAAAAGTTCTTTGACAAACTCCAATCCATTGTAGACCAGTTCCTCTGGAGGGATGTGTTCCCTATAGCAAGTTTGTTTACTCTATGTTTTTCAAAACTGCAAGGAGACCTAGGTGTGCTGGACCCTCAGATTCAATAAAAAGCCCTGACTATGTGATAACTACAACCAATTCTTGATAACAAACCCTCAGAATCATTTGTCATCCCTTGGATAAAGCACTTTCTTGATCTACACATGTTCTTTGGGGATTTCTGCCTTTCTTTATTGTCTTCTAGACTGTATATTTTCGTTTTACACACAAAGAATGGTGCACTTTCTACTCTCATGGGCACAATGAACTCTATCTAATAAGATTTTTCACTTCTCACTTTGAGCTACACCACTTGTTTTTCTCTGAAGATGCTGGATGCTGTAACCTACACAGCTTCTTCTGCACATGTTAGCTCTGGCTGAAAGCGTTTTAATGCTTCTGATGCTTTCCTTTTTTATCAGGACTTGCAAGTTATTGGCTTCCAAATGCAAACCAAATGGTCCATCTCACCATATCTGTTTGCTAAGCTGTTTCAGAACCTTGGTACTGTAACTGCTGAGCTCATGCATTTCTTTTAGTATGTCACTTCACCTCCTAATAACCACTGAGCTTGACGACGATGCCAGCAAATTGACAAAAGTGCCAGCGAAACCAACAAAGCTGGCAATGGCAGCAATATCGACATGGAGGAAGTAAGTCATGCCCTGGATGATGCAGGCCCAGCTAACTTTTTATACGCGCACATCCGGGATAGCATGATGTCTTCCGTAACCAACCTCAACTCACCAGTGGATGAAGATGTTGATTGGCTCAACAGCTTACTTGGATCATGCTTAACCTGGAACTCTAATACCTCGACTACTCACCCATTCCCAGACCTTCAGTCAATGGTGTTACTTGCTCTGGTAGATGGTGACAACAATATGTTCTCTTGTAGAATCTTGAAAAAGATCCTTTTCACCATCAGACTTGTTCTAAAGCTGCAAGAGGAAGCCATCACAAACGGATCACCTTTCAAGCTATCCCGTTTGGATGCACTCTTGAACTACCAGAGCAGAAAGAAGTCCAAGCTCCCTGTACTCACTTCGATACCTGTGACAATCGATTTGCTCAAAAACAAGTCTGTCTTGGCATATGTAAACATGCCCTCAGATCACTTGAAGTTACTTGCCACGAACCCCGTGAAAGCAAAGTCCATGTTTGCTATGCCTGATCATATGCCAGACCAGTTTGTATGCTTACAGCAAGGCAAGAAATGGAGAACACACAAGAATTTCCAGCAGCCGATGTTTACACACAACAAGATAGACTTTTGGTCTGGGATGTTGTTGAGTTTGCCAGTGGCTCTGCCAATGCCTGTTTCTTTGTAGAGTCTTTTCATACAATAGGCATCTCTGCTGTGTATGCTTGAAGTTATAATGTTTTGCTCCCTGAAAACAACCATTTCGTTCACATCGAAACTAAGCGTACTAGTATGAGAGTTAAGAAATTACTCCAGGTTGATGCTTCTCCTATCGATATTGACTTTTGCTTCAGTGTGTCCCCAAGGAAGATTGACCCCGTACTTCCAGTTCACTGGTCCTTGCTCCTAGTCCCCCATTTCTTGAAACGGCATATCCCTCAAGATCTTGACAACCTGAATAACAAAAACCATTTTTACAAGGTTAGGATTGCGATGATAACACTCTTTACGAATGACATGTTAGGAAGCTGGTCAAAGCAGTACAATCCTTACAAAAGTTGGTCTATGAAGTGTGCAGCTCTTTCCTTTGAAGAGAAGTCTTTAATAGAGAACATCTACTTCCTATCTGCAATCCTAAAGAAAGATGGTGCAAGTGGAATGTCATTGCTCCCTGTCTTTGTCAAAGACCTCAAGATGCTTGAAGCTGGACTGGTAATGTTCTCAGCTGAAGACAATGAACATGTCTTAGTCGTAGGACCACTTCTTTGGATTGAGGCTGACACACCATGCCATTCCGAACTCTGTGGTTTACGTGCCTCTACTTGTCTGTATCAATGCTAGAAATGCTATGTGGTGTTATAAAGAACCGCGGAAAAATTGAAGGATGAGATACACTATACGGGTAGTCATGCTAGCAGAACTAAGGAACGTTATCAGATTGCTACATCTACCCCAGATAGAAGTTCAACTATACTAGATGCTCCCTTGACTGGTAAAAACTTTAAGGCAAGTGAACTAAGCTTCCAATATATGGCAATGAACGTACTGTTAGATCTGGATTCGTTTGATCCGTCGACCAATACACCTGTAGAAATACTACATAACATTCTTCTTGGTGTTGCGAAGTATTTGGTGACCGATTTGGTAAAGGTCGTTCTAAAGGGACACCCCGGTTTACTAAACAAGCTAATTGACTCCTTGAATGAATATGAGAAGTCTCAAGGTTTATCACGAAAGTTTACTAGACTCCTAAGACATTGCGGCTCGTTCCTTGGAAGAGATTTTAAGATTCTTGTACAAATCCTCCCCATCGTCTTGGCTACCGAGTTTGTAAATGATAATGATCTCTCTCTCATAACCCCATGTTTTGTCCATCTTGGCCGTCTTTGTTCCCTGGTGTTTGTTAGAGCAGTTAAGTAAAATTATAATTCTTACATTGCCAGTTAAAAATACAGTTACTAGTCTGATCCAAAAACTATATTTTTATGACAAGAACTGTGGTATTGAGGGTCATAAGCCGTATACCTCAAAGCCAAAAGTACAGCTGCTCACACATCTTCCCGACGACCTTCAAAGATTTGGAACTGCTTTACATTACGAAACCGAAAAAGGTGAGCAGTTTAACAAGCATATCCGTGAACACCTAATGCATACAAATAGATTAAACACCTCAAGAGACGTATGTCTCAAATTCGCCAAGCAAGCAGTTATGAGACACGTCATTGATGGTGGTTCATGGATGAACAAAGACGGCCAGAGAGAGCATTATGGTGGTGATACTGCAGTGTTCCTTCACGAAAATGTCGACAAGAACTTCCAGGATATCTTGTTTGGCAGATTAAGAGACTTCGCCAATAACAACGACATTGACAATATTGCAGACCTCCCACCTCGTAATAATACCTTTGGAGTATTCGTGCTCAATGAGAGTAGAGACCAGCCAGTCCATTATATTATTGGAAAGGTCTCCTCTCTGAGAGTAGAACACTACAGAGTTGAGAGTAGCGCCCATGGTCAAGAGAACAACTTTCTCCTCGCATAAAGGTTCTCTAACGATCTAACTACTCCACTCAATCAATTGACAATGGTTCGAAAGCTTGACATGCACACTCATTATGACAACAAGCTTGTAATTAATCTCAACAAGTTCGGGTCATATTGGTTCTTTGCCTCCCAGGTGTACAATGGGCGGTATTAATTAAAATTTATATTAATAAATATTTTCTTTAATAAAAATTCATAATTTTCACTAAGTTATTTTTTGTTTTTGGTAAAACCCTGAGAAAATCCATTTATGGATGCTTACATTTTCGAATTTATCTAATGCAGACATAATATCTCAGAAAATTGCTCCAAATTGATATTCCGAAAACTTCGAATTTTTTAAACCAATCAAAATGCTTAGGAGTAAATCAAATCCATATTTGATATCAAAAATCTCCTGTGGTGAAACTATGTCACCCCATCACTGACCACTTACACACTGAGCCTGATGGCATGACTGAAGCTGCCACTTCTTTCTACAAAGGCCTGTACACACCTGAACCAATAGATCAACTAGCTATAGACGATTTACTTCGCCACCTTCCCCACGATCTCTGCCTCTCTGATACCATATGTTCCTCTCTGACTGCTGAACTTTGCATCGAAGACATATGAGAAGGCGTGTCTTGCTCTCCACAAACAAGTAGCCTAGGACCAGACGGCCTCCCTTATGAGATCCTCCAACTCATTTTTCATCACCATTCTTGCTCCCAGTTGCTGACACTAGTATACAATAATGCTCTTAGTAGTGGCCAATTCCCTTCATCCTGGCAAACAACATGTGTTTCTCTGTTGCCCAAGATAGGCGAACTCTCATCCCTGAAGAATTGGTGACCAATTGCTCTGATCATCGCCGATGCCAAGATTTTCACTTGGCTTCTCAACGCTCGAATGGTCAAAGCTGCTAGAGTGCTTGTATCTCCGTATCAAACAGGATTTGTTTGTGGTCGCTTCATTGCTGATAATGGTATACTTATGAAGCTGGTTATGGATCATGCCAATTCTACTGGTCACTCTGGAATTGGTCTTCTCTTGGATCAGGAAAAGGCTTACGATCGGGTTCACCCTGACTGTCTTCAACAAGTTCTTGTTAAATTCGGTTTTCCTCCTTCAATTATAACCTGCATCACTAATTGTTTCTTCTCTTCCAACCTTAAGATTAATGTGAATGGTTTTCTTTCTCGTCCTCTTTGTCCAGCATGTGGGCTCAGACAGGGTGACCTCATGTCCCCTGTTCTGTTTAACCTGGCCTTTGAACCACTTTTGCGCCAACTCATACACAACCTTCAGTTTCCTGGATTTGAGATCCAAAGTACACCTGAACATCCCGCACCTCCACCCATAAAGCTACTTGCTTATGCTGACGATCTTCTGGTTTTCCTCCCGCAGATCCAGGACATGTCCCGATTGCAGCACCACCTTGCCACCTATGTCTCTGCTTCCAAAGCACGCATCAACCCTCACAAGACCCAAGCTTTCTCTCTGTCAGGCAGACCTCATCCTCACTGGGCGGACACCCTTCACAGCTTGCAGATTGTTGATTGGCATGATAGTCGCTCTCCAGAACCTCTCTGCTACCTTGGCTTTCCGATCATCTCCTCCCTCACCCAACACAACTCCTTCTGCTCACAAATCTTGTCTAAAATAGAGCTAGCTTCACATATCTACCTCTCCCGCGCCTTGTCCTTCCATGGCCGTGCTACTGTCCTAAACTCTCTTATATTGTCAAAGCTCTGGCACGTTCTTCGTGTTGTATCTGTTCCCAGCACGTTCTTTACCAAAGTTTGCTCTTTCATGGGTCGCTTTCTTCAGCATCAAAGCTTCCCACTGATTAGACTTGACACTCTATGTCTCCCCACAAAAATGGGCGGTTTAGGGGTTTTGAATCCAAAATTGCAACAAGGTGCCCTTCAGCTCCGTTGGCTTCAACCTCTGCTCCAATCCACTTCGTCTCCTTCTGGTCTGGTGTTGCCTTGGCTGCTATATCTTCTTCGGCATTATCTGCTTGATGTCCATCCCCATCTTCCTTTCATTTTTCCTGACCTCAGACACCCTCAATTCCGAACTTATACCAGTCCTTTCTTTAACCTTTTTGCTGCCTGCGATCTCTTGCCTCACGATTTTGACTCTACTGTGATAAATCTACCGACTTGTCTGGACATTCCTCTCGCCTCTGCAGTTGTGGTTCCACATAATCTCTCTGCCTTTCCTGCTTCTTGGCGTCACCTCCGAATCCAGGGTGCCTACAAGATCAACACCACTTTGGATATTCTTTCTCACCACTTACCTTCTTCCTTTCCTCGTTCACCACGCATCCTCCACAAAGTCCTTCAGCGGGTGGATGATCATTCTCTTTTCCTTCACGCATTCATCATTCGCGCTTGCCTGCCTCAAAGTATCTTGACCAAACAATTCCCTGACTTGATGGCTCGCATGGGCACTGAGGTTGACCCTTCCACACTTCTGTCGGCCCTCTCTCCTACCTTTCCTTGAAAACGCTTGTCTACACGCCAATTCCGTTCCTCCTGTAAAGTCGCCACTTCTTCTATTGAGGATGTACCGCACAACATACGAGTCATCAAATGGCGCCAATTCTGGTCTTTCGTCCTTCCGTATGCCTCTCGCAACATTTGGTTCCGGCTGCTTCACCACAAGATCTCATGTCAATCCGTGCTGCATAACCGTATTCCCACCTCATTTCCCTCCCCTAATTGTTCGCTGTGTGGAACGGAAATTGACTCTCAAAACCATTTTCTCTACGCATGCCCACTCAAGCTTCCTCTCTGGAACACACTCTGGCTCGCGCATTTCGGCTTTTCCCCCCAATCCTCTGACATTCACAATACGCTATACAAGTTTTCCTTCCCCCCCCCCTTGATCCCACTTCACATCCTGCCCCAATACTTGGCTCTGTTCTTTTAGCCTTGTGGAGACATCACTGGGCTTTCTTATTCGGTCAATCACCTTTCGTTGCTGCTAATGGCACTACCTCTGCCAATTCCCTGCTTTCCCGTTTACAATCCGAAGAAAACCTTGATCAACGCCCTTTTTCTGTCTAAGTTCATCGCGTTTCTTCGTTTCCACATTTTTTTACATTACATTTACAACTTAAAAAACAAAATCCCCAAAAACATTTAAATAATAGAAAAACCAAAAACAAGTTGTGGCGCCTCTTAAGCCTTTTGGACAAGAGTCCCACCAATAAACCAGAGCTTTACTCCATACAAACAAAAAACCATAGTGTATCGGGTAAACTGAATAAGGTTTCATCCAAACAACTCGGAGCTGGATCCTTCTTTAAAGATATAAAAAATATGCTCAGCAATTGATTGCTTTAAGAACTACATGTTCTGGCTTTTTTAAAAAAAAACTCAGGTAACTAGATCGTAAAAAATATTTTTAATAATCTATACATATTAAAGTTAAAAGAAAAATAGAGGTTTTGTAGCCAATACCCGGAGCCTATAAAGCACGCTTTAAATTGTCTTAGTTTCATGTTAAAAATTAATAGAGTATAAATTAGCTTAACTGATAGGCACTTAGGATAACTATCTTGCTTTCTATAACTCACTATTTTTCTGCTACAATGGCAACAAAATTACCGCCAAGTGTTCTCACTTATATGACAACATATGTTGATGAATGTGACCATTCTAAATGTGCTCTAGTTTACAAACAGTGGGCAGAACCATTTTTAAATGCTTACTGGACTAAATTTTTTTTAATAGCAGGAGTATAAAGGAATTGTTCGGCAAATTTGGTCTTAAAGCAATCTATCAAAAAAAAATCTGCATCAAGTGTGGGTGCTAGAGATCGATTTATATAAAAAGTACTTTGAATATATTCCACTTTTGCAGAAAATGTTTACTATAATAAGATATTTGTCCTGTACTAGAGATCTAACAGACAAATTAATTGGTAGAAAAATTGATTGGAACCTTTGAAAGACACTGTCACACTTGAAACTATCTTTTGGTTGCGAGAAACCTGCACTGGAAATAATTTTCGGCCAGCTATCAACCTTGACTTATCTTATTTAACTTACAATTAGAAAAACCCCATATTCAGAGCATAGTATCACTATTTTCCTAACTGACATTGAATCACTTCACCGCTGCTTTCCACGTCTCGAATATATTAACATGGATTTTATACTTCAACCAATACCCAAAGAAGAAGTTGAAACAACAAGAGCTGTCAAACCAGCATACACTACTACAAAGATAGTCATTTCTTCAGACTATATTGATACATTGTGGATATTATACTTTGCGAACAAGTATCCCAATCTAGTTATCTTCAATTTAAAACAAGAACGAATTTTGCCAAATCACACACCGATATCTTAGGATGATCAGCAGCAATATCATCAGACCCAGCTTCAATTACTGCTATCACTAAAACAGTTCTTTCTTTGCCTAAAAACAACACACATGCTCTTCTACAGCACCAATTCTTGGCTATTTACTTTATTTTATGACGCTCTTAAATATTTTAACGTAAAGATCAAGCATGTTACAATTCATTTTGAGGACATGTCACTAGAAGAAAATGGTATAGGCAATTGGATCAAATACTTTTCTGAATCAGTGAACTTTCTGGATATCAAATGCTATAGTGGACTACTTACAAAAGCTAAACTATTCGTGCCTTGCCACAACTTAACTTTATTAAATATATACAGAGGTGGTGCAGTTGACATGGATAATATTTTGGATCAGTACCCAATCTTGCTGTCATTATATATATGCGGCTCAAAGATTTGTTCCCTTAAGTATCCACAGCCTTCCCAATCACAACACTCGTTAGAAACACTGGAAATTAAGGATATATGAATGAGTCTGTATGTTTTGGAATATATATTTTTCTGTTGTGGGAAATTCAGATATATAAAATTGGGTTATATAAATGCTTCTCGACAGAATATTTATAAAACCAGACGGCCACCTGTGAAGAGGTCCTTTTTCACAACTAAAATCGTTGATAAAATGCAGTAAAAGAATTCTTTTAGACAATGATACTTCTTACCTTCATATAAGTAATAAGCATATTGTCTTCGAGAAACTAGAGAATGTTAATATCACTTAATTGGATTAAAGTAATTGAGGATAGCCACCTTAATTAAACTAATATCATGCGTGTCTTAACGAAACAAACATAAAAACAAATTGCTATAGGAGCTTGGAAAACGTGGCGTTGAACTTTGCCAAAGATGTACTCTTTTTGTATTTTATCGATCTGGTATTACGTTTTACATTCATCTCTTAAAATGCCACCATATTTGACTTAATTGAGAAGAGAAAAGAGAGAAATAATAAGGTGGAGAAATAGGAAAATATATAGAAAATTGGTAGGTAAGAGAAGAGAAAGGAGAAAGAAAAGAGAAAAACTAAAGCTAGTGTTAAATGTGTTTTTCTATTACAGAGAACGCTTTTTATCTACTAATCCAGAGAGAAAATGCTGTTTATAAAAAAGCTTCCAACGAGAACTCCAAATATCCTTAGCAGTGGTGACGGAAATTAAAATACGGGGGCTTTATGGGAGAAACATGATAGGAAAATGCCTCTGCTAAGGAAAAAGGATATGACATTGAGGTCTCAAGACGAGTAGAAGCGATGAGAAGATGGTATCCCACATTTTTTATTTGATAGAACGTCCAGAGAAGAGGTTATATTGATCTTCAGTAGTTTCAGGACTAAAATACAAAATGAGCTGAATAAATGATGAGATAAATTTATTATATTGTCGTGTTGATGTTTCATCCCAGAGCATTTTCTAGCATACTGTTTGGCAGTGATGAGGAATGCAGTCAGACCAGAATTTTCGCCAATGAACAGATGAATTTAAATATGGTGGTACCATTGGGCAAATGTAAATCCAGAGAGATCCTGTTCTAGCTTCATCCAAACTAGTGATGTCCAACTGTATCAAGGAAAGGAACAAGAAAAGAACGATAGAAGAAGGTTCAGCAGAGAGACAATTTTCAAGGCAAAAGAGAAACAAAAAACAGCATACCATCCTCAAAGAGTCAATCTGTTGAGAGGAATGATCAGTATATTTACTTGCTCAAGAGAAGATACTAAAAGATAAATGACCATCTTGGTCATTTATGTTTATCAAAAATGCATCAGGTAAAGGAATTGCCTTCCAGCTCAAAGAAGATTCAACAAAATATGACATACACATTCATAATGAAGTCAAAGAAAAATTCTTAACCAGCGATGACAGCAGCTGTACGTTGGATAGAAGAGAAGTTGGAAAGAGTGTGGTGCTCACGCTATGTAAAGGAAGAAGTGAACTCTGGCAAACTACATCACTGCAGGGAAACAAAAGTGCAATATTAGCAGGAGTTTTAAAATATAAAGGAATGAGACATTTGAGGTAATGCAATAGAAAGGAGGTAAACGAAAAAGAGTCATAGTATAATATAGAAAATCCATAGAAAAAGAACTCTTTGCTAATAATCGGGGCAAAGCAGATCCAAACCCCCATATTTACGTGGCAGACAGAGAAGCTGTCAGCCAGGGCTACCAAAGCTCAGGCACAGGAATGAGCGAATATATGTGCGAGTGACAACAAAGAAAGTGGGACAGGAGTCAGATATAGTAAATAGCATATTGTGATGAGAACAAGTGCATTCACCACAATACTTTCACCACGCACAGACAAACATCTTTGGGATTGTAGCAAGTAGCAGTTCACAAGCTTAACCAGTAGAACAACAGAGAAGGCTTCAAGCTAAGAGGTGCGTGAGCTAATTGAAAAGCCAAGGTAATAGATAGCAGTTGCAGAGTGGCGGTTATGAAGGCTGTGTATGCCAGTAGCATCTAGTACAGAGCCCAAATCCAAATGAAACTGCTCAGACATAACAGCAGCAATTGACTTACAAAGATTGGCATTTGCATTAAAGGCTAGACGAAATGTGTCCAAAAGAATGAGAGCATTCGTCTATATGGGTGAAGAGAGAAAGACGAGAAGTTCAAATCCATAATCACTAAGTTTAAGTGGATGTGGTGATATATTTGAAGAGGAATACGATATACGGAGCGAAACAAAAACTGAGAACCACAGATGAAAGGGAAAGATAGAATGAATCTAAACAAATATTTGAAAGCCAAGTTGAAAATCCAAGGAATAGGTGAATTGCCTTGAAGTAGACCCCTGCTCAGCAGAAAAGGGAAAAATGTGTGGCCTTTAACATTTATGTGGATTTGAGTGAAGAAGAGAAGGCCATATATTGAGTCAACAAAAATGGTGGAAAAGCCTTACCTGGCCATAAAAAAATGAGTGTATGCAGGGTAGACACGGTCGTAAGCCTTATCCTGATCCAACAGAGTGTCGACTCATAGATCTTGGTTAAGTTATGCATGTGACATAGCGAGATATGCTAGAAAGCCATTGTCTGCAATGGATCTATCATCCATTAAACTAGTTTTAAATGGTGTTAGGAGTGGGCCAATGTCATGTATGTATTTTTTCTAGTCAGGTGTATGGCTGCAATAATAACTGAGATCACAGTTAAAGTCTCCAAGTCGAAAGACGGGAAAAGAAAGAATAACAGTAGAAAGAGTGCGTACTAAGGAAGAGAAGAAGGTACGCCAGTGGGAAGAAATGTTCGGTCTATAAATGACCACAATTACAAAAGGATCAAGGTGATGATTGGTGTGTTTAGCCTTGACAGCGAGTGCACGGTTTTCAGGCTAAACATAGAGTTGTGAAAGTTAAAGGAGAGAATCGAAAGAGGAGAGGTCGTAATATATAGTCCATAGGCTGGTCTGTGGTTGAGATGTAATGTGAATATACAAGTGATGTATAGGGAGTAAATGAGTCTCTTGAAGAGCAGGTTATGAAAGTGGAGGGGAGAATATTCAAAGGTGTCAAATTAAAAAAAGTTTTTGGGATTGCGGGTTTTTGATAGTAGAGAGGAAACTTCGACCTTTTAAGGTTTCTTTACAGAGATTTTGTGCAATCATTTATGAACTTGGCTCATCTGAATGGCCAGACTTTTCAGTTTTATCAGTCATAGGTGTGTTACTATCCAGGTCAGTGTATAAGGTTGCGCTTTGGGAGATAATCCGAAAAGTGGGCTCAAGAAGAGACTTTCTATGTTTGTTATCAGAAAATATCGGTTAGTTGATGCCATCGTTGTGATTGAATAAGCCTCGGGTACCCTGTAAATGTTTTCTGGCATTGAGTCCACGACCAGGCGGATCATACACAGCGATATCTATGAAAGATAGGTCAATGATGTTCTATGCAGCCAAATTTCTTGTCGCCATGGCACTAGTGTTTATCACCAATATGAAACAATAATGGATTGTGAGTATGAGAGGTGAAATAAGGATGGTTGTACTTTGCGAGGAGTTAGTATTTCTGGGATGGCTTGTTGTAGGGGTGTCTCTATCATAGCGACAGAGACTTGGCGTTCTTAAATGGACTCAGCTTTTGTAAGTGCAATCTGCTGCCACTCTTGGATAATCTACTCTGCTTCAATGTTGTCTGGATCAGTGGGGCATTCACGACTTTTAATTGCATGGCCAAAGGCGCTGCACGTTTTGCAAAGAGGTGCGCTGGTAGTGTTTTTTCTTCCAGCAGTATCTGCACACCTACACCGTTTGATAGAACATGATCCATTTATCTTTCAGGAATGCTTTTTTCAATGTTAAACAAGACAGTCGTCGGATTGATGGCACTAGCCCATGCAGCGAATGTAAGATCCACGATCATATTCTTGTCAAATTCGTGAGCAGTGAAAGTATGCAAAGATTTGTCCTTTTGATGTGGTGCTGTGGCCTGGGTACGGTTATGTGGATTATCTTACCAAAATGTGTGTGCCCTGTCCTGTGAGTGCAATCACTCGAGGGTACTAATATCAAAAAAAAAGTTTAACTGATATTAAGTTCTGTCGGTTATATTAATTTCCGTAGAAATACTCTTCACTCTGTGGATAACTGTCCTGAGTGACGCAAAGACAAACGTACCTGCCATATCTGTGGGGTAAAGGGATATATTCAGGCTCACTGCCCCCGAGACCCTCCCATAAATGCATGCCAGAAGCTCCGGAAAGGAGATAAGGCCCCGAGCTTGGCAGCCTTCCATCCTATTTATATACCGATACACCCTCTACAGCAAGCATAGCAGGTAGCTTTGAAAACGGCCAGGACTCTGGAACAGCCAGAGGCAGAAAATATTTCTGCAGGCAATCAAACCACTGTAGAAGCGTGTATGGCCAATTTGGCAAACAGCGAATGTGAAGCCAAAGCTTCACAGGTCTCCAGGACTTTAAGCGAAGACAGTGGTATCCCCCGAATCTGAGGATAAAGATGCCCTATCTGACGCACACATGAGCGACACTGACGAGACCAAAAACAAAAATCAGACTAATGTATCTAATAAACCCAAGAAACAAATTAAAAGGAGAATTTTACGTAATGAAGCCAAGAGATTCATTTTATCAGACAGTGCAAAACGCAATAGAGCCCTCACATTATAATAATATGATGACTACATTTAAAATAGCAACAACCAACTGTCGGTGGCTTACCGAGACCTTTAACCCCCAACAACGTAATTACTTTATTTGACACCTACGCTCAAAATATATTCAAGTACTTGCAATCTAGGAAACGCACACAAACAACCCAAAACTTCAAAAAAACTTCTTATATACAATTTCGAGCAAACGAGAGCCAATGGACATAACACTACGGCCTTGTTTTCTTCTCGTCCTATATTTCTTCTTCTTCTTTTAATCCTACTATAGTATATGTGGTAGAGTTACTTTTGCTACTATCCGTTATATACATTACCATTTTGGCTCTATAAAGATTGCTGTCATATATGCTCCTGCAACAGTATCAAGACCCCGGGCCTTTTCCACTTCTATTCTTCAATTGACACAATTTGGCCAACCTGCTCCTTCATCTCGTTTCCTCTTCCTTAAACATTTCAACTATACTTACAGCTCTACTTCTTCATACCCTTGTCATACATCTCTACCGTGGTTGCACCACGTTCATGAAACCTTAATTGATTGTGTCACTGATGAAGGTCAAACTCCCTATTCCAAAATTCTGCTGAAGAATGCAAATGAGTAGTATCAACTACAACTTTGCAACACCAGGTCTAGCCGGCCTCAAATACGAGCCTTCCGTAGATTACGACAATCCTATACGAGCTGATTATTTTCTTACTACGATTACTCTATCTTTCGGTACAGCTCATACCGAAAGAGGTTTATGGTGTGCTGACTCTCGACTGAAAATACCCTCATATTTCCAAGAACGCTTCTCTGTGTCTTTACAGGGTATCTTTCCCAGTTTGACTCAATTACCTTACCCTTAAGATAGATGCAAAAAAGTCAAGGCTATTCTTTGCCAGGTTGCTAAAACATTTTCTCGGGTATCTACCGCTTGGCGTGCTGCATAAGAAAAGGCAATGAAAAGCAAACTCGATCGACTTATACATAAATACAAGATCTACCATATCCGAGATACACAGCTTGTTGTTGTCGAACGTAAGTTTGCTCTTATAAAGCAAGAGCATGTAAATATCCTTGTTCTTAGAGCACAGAAATATTAGAGATAAAATGAAGAACATTCTGCAGGATGCCTCAAGAGACCTGTTGCGACTAAGACAGCGCAAAAACATATTCCTTTTTTACGCCACTCTGTTTCAAATGCGACCTGCAGTACGCCTAGTACTAAGGCTGACGCTGCTAGTGCATTCTATGGGGAGGTTTATACCGCTGATCCTACTGATCACTCGACCATTGACGATTTTCTCCACAATGTTCCTGAACATGTCTATCTTAATTAAACTGTACGGTCATCCATGACTTCCTCCTTCATCTTTGACTAAATTTGCTCTGCATCTGATAGATCTCCCCGCAAAAGTATTCTTCGCTCTGATGGCCTTCCGTATGAGTTTCTGTTATTAGTGTTAACTGAGGATGTATATTCCGACATGGACACGACTATCTATAGTCGTGCTCTTTTACATGGTATATTTCCCCCATCTTGGAGCTCTACTTGTTTATCCCTGCTACCTATAAAAGCCGACCTTTCCACTTTAAAAAACTGGAAACCTATTTCATTAATCAAAACTGATATCAAAGCCTTCGCCCGTTTGCTAAATTTACGTAGCACACCCGCCTCCAAGTCACTGGCTAAGCAATACCAGACTGGCCTTTTTAAAAGGCAGTTAATTACCAATAATGGGCTTATGAGCCGCATAGCTATGGAACAGACACAGCTCTCCTCCATTGACTCCGTTGGTTTGTTGCTTGACCAGGCAAAAGCGTACGATAGTGTACATCCTTAATATCTCAAGCGAGCTTTGGAACGATTTTGCTTTCCTGGTATCATTGTCCACTGTATTTCCAAACTTTTCTTCTCTATTGACGTATCTGTTAATGACAATGCATTTATTTCACCTTCTATAGAGCAACAACAGGGACTTTTCTAAGAAGATCCATTGTCACTCTTCCATCTCGCCTTTGAGCCCTTGCCCTGATGATTGATCCATGGCACTTCGTTTTATGGATCATGTATCTACATTGACGCTTTTGACAACTCTACATCACCACCTGTTAAAATACTAGCCCACTCTGATGATTTCTTGGTTTTTCTTCACATTCTTGCAGTTTTTTTTTATTATATACCAACACTTGGACGCATACTCTCGGGCCTCTCATGCACAAACAAACCTACGTAAGATACAGGCCTTTTCGTTATCTGGTGCCTCATCAACCAAATCGCAAACTCTTCTCCAGACAAGTCTATTACTGCATGACATTATCGCACTTCACGATCTGTCCTGGCATACCTAGCGTCTCCTTTAATCTTGTTTCTAGCTTAACGAGACTAGTTCTATTAGTCACTCATGCAATTTGTTGAATCTGCATGTCATATTTACTCACAGCCCTCACTATTACTACTTGGTCGTTCCACATTTCTTATCACACTGATTCTCTCTCGCATGCAGCGTGTTCTTCATGTCACTATTGCTCATATCAAGTTCTTTGATAAACTTGGGTCTATTATGCGTCAGTTCCTTCACCAGAAAATTTTACCCATGGCTAGTCTAGCCTCTCTCTGTTTTCCTTGGACACAAGACGAATTGGGTATATTAAATCCTCAATTCCAAATTCCAACAAAAGGCCTTTACCATGCGATGGTTAAAGCCCTCTATATATCCACCAGCGTGTTGCTCCTTTTTCACTCCACGGATACAACACAGTCTTCATCCTGCCCAAACACACGGCGATATTCGACCACCTTTGTTGTTTCCACGTCTGCGACACCATCATTTTTTGTTCTGTCCACAATGAAGCCCATTCCGCGCAACTTCTCTTTTGTCACTGTCGGCTACTTTATTTTTCTCTCTTGACAAACATTGAATATGATTACTTTTTCGGATCCTTCTGGACGTACTACAACAAGTTGGCGGAGGATTTTAGCGTCTGATACGTTTATATATGATGAGGAGTTAGAGGCCGTCCGTCCTCGATCACCCAATGAAAGGAATTCATCTCCATACCTCATTTCCAAACTGTTTTGCTATTTTTCTACTGAAAGAGCCACCCTTATCCCCCCTTTAACATCCCTCTCTCTACTTGCCCACAAAACCACTGGCTTTCACCTGTTCTTTATTTGTTGCTGCTCTTAATCCAAAATATGCCCTATTTAGTACTCTTGGTACCCATAGTTTTTGTGCTATATGCCGCAACCCATTCAAAGCTCTAACTTGCTTCTTTGCCACTCACCCCACGACAATGGTGCACCTTTTGGTCATTTCCTATCCCTCACTCATCTGATAATATATGGTATCGAACTATCCTCAATACCCTCTCATTCCAAATCACCCTCTACCACCATGCCTCTGCACTATTTGACACTGTAGTATACACACCGTAATTGAGTGAAGTGCATACTCGACGACCAAACACTGGTTACTTCTTGCTGATGAACCTGACAAGTTAACAATCTCCGGAGCTGTTACGCACCAGGCACACGTACACTACACACTCGTACAGTGCAAACCAACCATTACACAACAGGGTTTTGATTTACATGGATTTTAATAGTATCAAATATAAGTAATATTACTCTGACTCGCTTTAATAAACAAAGCTTTCAAAACATCTACTTTTTCCTATATTGAGATACTAGCTCAATAATAATCCCGAATACCTCAGTGTACCTCAGTGTGTGTATACGAAAAACTGCATAATTTATTTTAAATAGCCGTACGGTAAAATCTGGCGGATTAATCAATAAACAGCACCGACAAAAAAAAAAGGAAACTATCAATAGTGCTTTTGAGAAATGATATATTAATATTAGATAATTAGTAAATCTCAGCTATATACTCTTTATAGATTAAAATCTAAACTCTTAATCAGTTTACGTGAATGGAATAAGAATTTTTACAAATGGTTTATGTGTATGCACCTTGAACCTTGAACCTGAATAAACTTATTCGAAGGAGTATTCAAGCAATCATGATTGTTTTTATCTTGATTTTGGGAACTTGAGACGGCGGGTGTATTTGGTGACCATCGCCATTTGGAAGAGAAAAGCAGCGACATTAGGAGATTGAAACTTGTAGAACGAGGGAGAAAAATAAAAAGTAATAGTAGTTGGCTGTAAAGAGGTCAGTAATCCGACTCTAGACACTATACAGCTCGAAAGCTCTTCCTAATAATAAAGTCTCTTACTAGTCACTTTTCTCAACTCAATCGTTCTATTCCCAACATCTACATTCAAAATTGCGAATGATTGGCTCAAGTTAATATAAAAAATGGATGACGTTACAAAGCGTGTGGCCCAAAGGTCAAAACTTGCACTTTAAATAAAGAACACGTCTCAAAGTGTGTGGCCCAAAGATTATAACGCGTTAAAAAAAGGAACACTCTCACATTATTATTTTTCTTCTTTGCGCTTTTTCATTAGTTTACTCCAATGTACAGCAACACCAGCAGCAGCAGCAGCAGCGACAACAACAACAACAACAACAACAACAACAATAACAACAGAAAATGCAGCAGCAAATGCAACAGCAAATGCAAATGCATTAGAAAGTCCAGCAACAGCTCTCTTGTGTTTGGTCAAAAGGCCATTAGCAAGCCGATCCCCAAGCCTCTGAGGGACCGAATTCTAATGAAGCTGGCGGGTATTCCTGCCCCAGAAGAATCTAACTACATTATTGCACTCAAAGAAAGAACGGCAATGGAGCTTTGTAAGTTTTGTCTTTATATAATAATAGATAAGCGATAAAATATTAATACCAATAATTTCTATATATTATCAGATATTCCTAGGGGGGTTAAGCGGCAACTCCAGGAGGAGGAGTATGAGGGGCAACCGGCAAATGTAGACGGCTCTTGGCCTGCCCTTGAGCATCTTATTAAAAGAAAGAAATTGTGGTTCGAGGGCAAGGCTTTTGTCAAGGCCCGTGAGCAGGACATAGCTCGGGCTGAGCGTTTCCAAACACCGCTCTCTGAACTCAAGCCGACAGCCATGATTCCAGAAGTTGAAGCCTTTTGCAAAAGAAAAGCACTTGCAATGGCATACACACAGGCTGTACAAGAAGGAATAGAGGTGGAAATAGGAGAAGAAGAAAGCGAAGAAGAACAAGAAGATGATGATGACGACGAAGAAGAAGAAGAATATGAGGAATATGAAGAATATGAAGAAGTAGAAGAAGAAGGAGTAGCAGAAGAAGAAGAAGAAGAAGAAGAAGAAGAAGTAGCAGAAGTAGTCGCAGAAGTAGCAGAAGTAGTCTCAGAAGTAGTCGCAGCCGAAGAAGCTATTCAAGTGCAAAAGCAAGCAGAGACGCTCGCACCCAGAAGAGCAGTAAAGGCCATGACGCTCGCTGCTAGAAAAAGAGCGGCGGAAGCACTCGCGGTTAAAAGAAGAGAAGCAGAAGCAGCAGCGACAACAACAACAACAAAGCCAGAGCCAGAACCAAAGACAGAGGCAAAGGCAGAGTCTGAGCCTGAGCCTGAGACAGAGCCTGAGACAGAGGCAAAGACAAAAACAATGACAATGACAAAGACAAAGACAGGGACAGAGGCAAAGGCAGAACCCCGTCTGGCCAAAAGCCCATACGGCGGCTGCCATTTTCGAGTCTGAGTAAAAAGTCCGTAGTCCGGGGGTTGCTCTTCTAATGGTAACAAGAAGAGTAATCCCCGGGAAACCCGGCAGAAGCAACTAACAAATATATATCTTTTTATAGCAACAGGAAGCAACAGAAGCAACATACTAACATACTAACAAGCAACAGATACTAACAAGCAACGGGAACTAACAAGCAACGGGAACTAACCTTACTCACAACTAACTTTATGAACAATTAACTTTATGAACAATTAACTTTATGAACAATTGACTTTATGAACAAATAAATTTACTAACAACTAACTTTACTAACAGCTGACTTTACTAGAAGAAGCCGAATTAGAGTCATAGCTAGTGTTAGAATTAGAGTCATAGCTAGTGTTAGAAGTAGAGTCTTAGATAAAGTTAGAAGTAGAGTGATAGCTAGAGTTAGAAGTAGAGTCATAGCTAGTGTTAGAAGTAGAGTCTTAGATAAAGTTAGAAGTAGAGTGATAGCTAGAGTTAGAAGTAGAGTCATAGCTAGAGTTAGAATTAGAGTCATAGCTAGAGTTAAAATTAGAGTCATAGCTAGAGTTAGAAGTAGAGTCATAGCTAGAGTTAGAATTAGAGTCATAGCTAGAGTTAAAATTAGAGTCATAGCTAGAGTTAGAAGTAGAGTCATAGATAAAGTTAGAATTAGAGTCATAGCTAGAGTTAGAATTAGAGTCATAGCTAGAGTTAGAAGTAGAGTCATAGATAAAGTTAGAATTAGAGTCATAGCTAGAGTTAGAAGTAGAGTGATAGCTAGAGTTAGAATTAGAGTCATAGCTAGAGCTAGAATAAGAGTCATAGGTATAGCCAGGAAAAAACAGCTCTTATATATTTTATCCAAAATGTATTATTATATATACTAGGAGCTTTGGTCCCCCCTTCCCTCGGGGGGAGCGGCCATTGGCCTATGTTGAGTTCTTTATAACTTTTCCCTACTGTTAATAGTGTACGGTACACAATTGCCAAGTAGTATAGCCTTTATATTTTATTTTAATGAGAAACAAGTAAGTTAGAGAATACGTGACGAAAGTTATAAGTTGTATAACGTGATATCTAACTTCATCCTTTATTTCTAATTAGATAAAATAAAATGAACTGCTGGGAGCATGACTTTTAGCTAAAAGTCTAAATACGGGATAAAAGTCGAGATAAAAGCAACTGCTGGAGATGCTATTATATTATATTGCTTATTTTTCTTTATTATTATTATTATTATTATTATTATTGCAAAAGCAAAAAAAAACCCTAAAAAAGTCTGAGGGTACCCGGAGCCCAGAGACATGTGAAGATTGTACAAAAGAATCCATGTACATCCGACAATCATTTGAGATTAGCATGAAAGAATGTTATTGTTTGTAAAGCGAGCAGTAATAGACTTTTTTTTCCTCTCTCTCTCTCTCTCTCTTAAGTAATTCGGTGGTAAGCTGGGAATTACAGCTTTCACACTAGGTTTGACTGAAAGATGGTAACAACCGCCGTTACAATGGGGCCGAGACTCATGTTAATTGAGTACATGACTAATTAAGAAAGATAGTTTAGTGTGATGGCTCAAGATTCACAATTCAGTATGTAACAATGGTGCTGTTTGAGTGATAAGAAAAAAAAATGATGATAGGTGTATGTACATTGATGATATTTCATTATTATTATTTCTTTGGTCCGTATCGTATTTCACAATAATGAAATTCACTTGCTCGGCTATTGGATTATACTCCATAGTAATGAATCTACGACACACTAATAGAGCACAATAAAAAGTGAACTTAACATGCTAATATAACGATGAGGATTTTACAGTGAGCCAGTAGAAGAGGGGTGTGTGAGCGAGAAAAAGAAGACATGTAGTTTGGCTAGATGTGTCGGGGTTTTTTATTTTTTTTTATTTTTTGTGGTCGATCATTACCAAAGGGTCAGAGGTAGTTAGCAATAGAAATAAGTAGAGTCAGCACTCGTTATAGTAATAATTTAGCATGGAAAAGACATGGGTAAAATAGCCAAGCTTTAGAAGCCTTGTAGTATTATGGTCAGTCAGGCAAGTGGAGTTAGTATACTATCATTCTTTTCAAGGATTTTCTTTTTGTGGGGGGATATAATGATAATAACGTGTGAAGCTTTAATTGTTAGTTCAGCTAATTTAAACCATATAAATGTAAAATGAAGTTTCTGTATAATATGGTGCAATTTTTAGTAGGTCTTGTAGTATACACACTACAATTAAGTGAAATAAAAGCCATGGCCAAAAACTGGTCTCTTCTTGCTAATAAACCTGGCAAGTTAACAATCTCCAGAACTATCACACACCAGGCACATATACACCACACATTCGTACAGTGTAAACCAACCAACCGTTACACAACACGGATTTGAATAGTAGCAAATATAAACAATATTACTTTGTCTCTTTAATAAATCATGCTCTCACAATATCTACTTCTCCTAATATTGAGATACTCATTCAAAATTAATCCCCAATACTCCACCACCAGCAACTCAATTGGATTATTTGTGCAAATGGTCCATGATCAATACCCACTTTCATTCAGTCAGACTTTATTTATTTATTTATCACCTGCTTCACTCAATTCTTACTGTCACAAATGCAATTGTACGAAGACGTGTATATCTTTGACTCTCTCATTTCAGGCTATAGACATTATCAGAGTAGTTTTACCTCTTACAATCTGCTCTTTTGGCTATATATATATCACATTGGTACGACCAGAACTCGGCTTCTTATGTCACATATCTCGGCTATCATTTTTTGTTAGCTATATCTTGTGTCTGCAGCACACACATTCAACGTCAACTGTCTTTACTGGGACTATCCATTGACCTCCCCGCTCTTATCATGTCTAAACCGTATCATATATCGTGCCTGTTCTCCATTTACTCTTTAATCATACATTCTATCCAAACTCTTGGACGCAAATGTCTCACTCATGGAATATTTCTCTCTTACTCGGCTAAGTTTTCTGCGACTTAATAAGCGTTATGATGATATCGGTATTTTGTATTCAACTCGTTATCAGCAACCCATTACAGTTCTGTTGCACTCACTCTCTCCTCCACGCCTACATCGATCACCCAATCTTTATTATACATTCTCTACAACATACCTTGAGCACACATTGCATGGCATTTAGTTACGAATTACCTATTTTCTTTCCTGAAGTGCAACCAGCCAGTCTAAAGTCGCCTTTCTCCATCACTGATACCCTCTTTTGTGTATTCGACATATATCTTCGTGGTCTCATATTTTGACTTCCCAATGACGCTATTTGTCTTACTTTGCCGTGTTTTTCTATGTGGTCACCACTCATAGAGGGTCTAATGGTACGAGGAGGGTACAATACGGCGGAAAAAAGGGTAACCTGTTTCCACTTTCGTAACACAACTGCCATTCATTCCGCCGTAGTATATTTCAGTTTAAGCAGAATATAGGACTTTTACTTTATATTATTTTTCCTTAACTCTACGTGAATAGTACTAAAGCTTACCTTTATCATACGCTTCACCACTGTTTGTATAGTTTTCTCATCAAACTTCTTGCTTCATCAATTGTTTGTGTATCTTCTGATAAGATGTCTAGCTGTAGCCTTCAGGGGTTGTGGTTTTTATCAACAAGTCTGTTCTAATATCTTTATATAAGCTTTTATTTCTGAGCGGTCTTGGGTTATCCAGTGACCGTAGTCAACAAGATGTCTATTTACATTTGTGTGTTGTATTTGCTTTACCATTGGACTGAAGCTAATATAGCTTGTAAAATTGTTGGTTGTCCCATCCTATTCCTTCAGCTATGAGTTGTTTTCAGTTGATACAAATTTAGTGACAAAGATTTACACAAAATTACACCCAATAGCACTATATAGAATTTTATTACACCAAAACACACATTCCGCCTCATAGTGTAGTAGAGACGGTTGGGTATAATCCAAGGACTTTTTACAGCTCGCACTTTATCTCTCTTATTTTATTTTATTTTTGATGCTCTACTAAAGATTTTGCACTGAAACCAGCGTCATCAATAAAACAACAATAACAACAAGGATAAGCTAAGTGGTTTATTCAGTTGACATTCAACATCCCAGGCTCTTTTCAAGCACTTTAGTGTTTGTTTAGAAGTTTTCCTTTTTCTTTTTCTTTGCTTCTTCTGGTAGATCTAAAGGTCCAGACAAAGATGTATGTCGATACTTTGTCTCGCGTGTTTCCAAATATGCATACCCATCTTCTTGTATACTCTCTTGTGCGTTTTCTTGGCTCTTCCACATCTTCAAGCTCTAGTGCTTTTCTGATTTTATGAAACTGTTTTTTGTGTTTGTGCACACACACACACACATATTCAAAAGAACGTCGATTGTTCGTTCTTCCAAGGTAACTTCGTTTACAGAAATTTGTTTTGCAATACTATAAAGCAGTTGTACTGTCTCATCGGCACGTTCCTTGCTGTCTATAACTCAACAAATGTTTTTCTTTTTTTTTGCTTGTGTAAAAAAGTATTCCACTGCAAATAATGGTTTAAGTGGTTGCTCATGAACATAGTCGCTGATAATAGTAGGATCCAGAATATTAAAAAAAAATATCTAGCCCATGGCTTACAAGGATATTCTTTCGTATATGATTTGGCTACTTTCTACTAAATCGTTGGTTGCATTTTCTTTTGTAGGGTGTATACCAAAGGCAATAACAATTGGTAAAATCCCATGCTCTTTGTTAACTGCAAGGCAGTATTCTATTGTTCTTTGTATAAATTTGGGATCAATGGTAATTTTGGACCTCAACTAAAACAGGAGGGAAGGAAGCAGTGACTTTAATGAGGGGGAATAACACGTCTGAACATCTTTCATTATGTCATTCTGTAGATCTGACTGCGTACTGACAACAAGCTCCAGAACCTGTATTCTCAAAACGCCGCGTCAGGCGATATGTAACATTAAAAAAAACATTGATGGCTCCTACCTAGTAAATCATCGACAATGATGTTTCTAACAGGATTGCGCAGTATTCCATTCCTTTCTGCGGTCTAAAGATATACATATCAGATCTGTACCACATTTATTGGAACTATGCTATTAGGTTGCTTTGACTCTATTTTAAATAACTCACCATCTTGAGCAATCTCATATGTCATGAAAGGCCGTTAAATGTACATATACTTCTTGTATGCGTGGTCACCATATAAAGCATATTTGAGATCTGGGTCATTTTCTGGCTGCATATGATCCACATGAGCAATAGGTCTCTGCAGGGTCTTTGACTGGTCAAAGATTTTTGCGTCATTGCTAATTCCCGCAAAAGGACCAATGATGCTTACTTGTGATTCCATCGGGGATGGCAATCGCCTGGTATTTCAGACAATGGATGTGCTGTACAAATAATATGGCATATAATACATAGGTTGTTATAAGCTACATTTCTGTTTAATCCATTTCTTATAATTAATATATTACCTTTCATCTATTGTACATGACTTTCTGCTCCTCGTTTATAGTTAGGCGAGAGACCCTCTGCATTGTGCCGTCGATAAGTCCAATTACATTTGGGTATATACCGCCTATAAGAAAAAGAGAGATACAATAAAAGACTAGTTAAAACCGAATAAAACACTTTAGAAGGACATGTGCTTACTTTTTGCAAACACGGCAGCATAAAAAACTCTCGCAGTTCTCTTCAGAGAATTTTCGCGAGTCAAACTCAAACCCATGCTTAAAGATGTCAAAAAGTAGAACTGAGAACTGGTTTACTGTGCAAGCCAAGTTCTTCTCGTTAATTCCCCACATTCTTTCCATTGAACAATATCGACGTGGGAATGCGTATCTGTACAAAACCAATGCAAAGGCAAATTCACATCGAAATTTAATATAATAAGTCTCACTGCGTCTAAACGATAGAATTTTATCCAAATTAATGAAAGCAGACATTCGCTTTATCTGCAATATTAAAAAAAAATAAGTAAAAGGCTTTTTTGTTTGTAGCTTTACATATATCAATGTTTATTTGTTAAGAATAAACTACCTCTGGAAAAGTGAAGCAGAATCCTTTCTTGCATTCTGCATCAGAAAGGTCTTCAAGATTTAAGCGTTTGCGACTTCTCCTCTTGGATCCAGTTTTCTGCAATACTTCATTACTAGTAATGAGATACTCGATCGGACCAAGGTTAATGAAAAGCCCCACTTTTTTATTTTTTATTTTGAATGTAAGATGTCTTTATATTGTTCTAAAGGAAGAAGAAACGCACTGCTTTTTATTTTAATATGGAGACATAGTCTCAAAGTTTATTAAGTGAAAATCATTGACATGGTCACAAACTGTATTTTTTGGGAGGGGGTTTCTATTTTGAGGGCAAAGGTAGCTACAAGTATTTATAATGTGTTTTTTTATATGGGTTATAAGAGGTTACGAGGAAGCTAGTTGAGACGAGGTAAAATATGAAGCAAAGTCCGAGACTAGAGGGGACGTGAGGCGCAGAGGAGTGGTTAATCGAGGTGAGAAGAAAGGGAGATGTGCGTTGGGGATGTCGGAGCAGAGAAAAGATTACTGCTCTGCTTTGCGCGCCACTACGGCGGAATGAATGGCAGTTGTGTTACGAAAGTGGAAACAGGTTACCCTTTTTTCCGCCGTATTGTACCCTCCTCGTACCATTAGACCCTCTATGAGTGGTGACCACATAGAAAAACACGGCAAAGTAAGACAAATAGCGTCATTGGGAAGTCAAAATATGAGACCACGAAGATATATGTCGAATACACAAAAGAGGGTATCAGTGATGGAGAAAGGCGACTTTAGACTGGCTGGTTGCACTTCAGGAAAGAAAATAGGTAATTCGTAACTAAATGCCATGCAATGTGTGCTCAAGGTATGTTGTAGAGAATGTATAATAAAGATTGGGTGATCGATGTAGGCGTGGAGGAGAGAGTGAGTGCAACAGAACTGTAATGGGTTGCTGATAACGAGTTGAATACAAAATACCGATATCATCATAACGCTTATTAAGTCGCAGAAAACTTAGCCGAGTAAGAGAGAAATATTCCATGAGTGAGACATTTGCGTCCAAGAGTTTGGATAGAATGTATGATTAAAGAGTAAATGGAGAACAGGCACGATATATGATACGGTTTAGACATGATAAGAGCGGGGAGGTCAATGGATAGTCCCAGTAAAGACAGTTGACGTTGAATGTGTGTGCTGCAGACACAAGATATAGCTAACAAAAAATGATAGCCGAGATATGTGACATAAGAAGCCGAGTTCTGGTCGTACCAATGTGATATATATATAGCCAAAAGAGCAGATTGTAAGAGGTAAAACTACTCTGATAATGTCTATAGCCTGAAATGAGAGAGTCAAAGATATACACGTCTTCGTACAATTGCATTTGTGACAGTAAGAATTGAGTGAAGCAGGTGATAAATAAATAAATAAAGTCTGACTGAATGAAAGTGGGTATTGATCATGGACCATTTGCACAAATAATCCAATTGAGTTGCTGGTGGTGGAGTATTGGGGATTAATTTTGAATGAGTATCTCAATATTAGGAGAAGTAGATATTGTGAGAGCATGATTTATTAAAGAGACAAAGTAATATTGTTTATATTTGCTACTATTCAAATCCGTGTTGTGTAACGGTTGGTTGGTTTACACTGTACGAATGTGTGGTGTATATGTGCCTGGTGTGTGATAGTTCTGGAGATTGTTAACTTGCCAGGTTTATTAGCAAGAAGAGACCAGTTTTTGGCCATGGCTTTTATTTCACTTAATTGTAGTGTGTATACTACAAGACCTACTAAAAATTGCACCATATTATACAGAAACTTCATTTTACATTTATATGGTTTAAATTAGCTGAACTAACAATTAAAGCTTCACACGTTATTATCATTATATCCCCCCACAAAAAGCAAATCCTTGAAAAGAATGATAGTATACTAACTCCACTTGCCTGACTGACCATAATACTACAAGGCTTCTAAAGCTTGGCTATTTTACCCATGTCTTTTCCATGCTAAATTATTACTATAACGAGTGCTGACTCTACTTATTTCTATTGCTAACTACCTCTGACCCTTTGGTAATGATCGACCACAAAAAATAAAAAAAAATAAAAAACCCCGACACATCTAGCCAAACTACATGTCTTCTTTTTCTCGCTCACACACCCCTCTTCTACTGGCTCACTGTAAAATCCTCATCGTTATATTAGCATGTTAAGTTCACTTTTTATTGTGCTCTATTAGTGTGTCGTAGATTCATTACTATGGAGTATAATCCAATAGCCGAGCAAGTGAATTTCATTATTGTGAAATACGATACGGACCAAAGAAATAATAATAATGAAATATCATCAATGTACATACACCTATCATCATTTTTTTTTCTTATCACTCAAACAGCACCATTGTTACATACTGAATTGTGAATCTTGAGCCATCACACTAAACTATCTTTCTTAATTAGTCATGTACTCAATTAACATGAGTCTCGGCCCCATTGTAACGGCGGTTGTTACCATCTTTCAGTCAAACCTAGTGTGAAAGCTGTAATTCCCAGCTTACCACCGAATTACTTAAGAGAGAGAGAGAGAGAGAGGAAAAAAAAGTCTATTACTGCTCGCTTTACAAACAATAACATTCTTTCATGCTAATCTCAAATGATTGTCGGATGTACATGGATTCTTTTGTACAATCTTCACATGTCTCTGGGCTCCGGGTACCCTCAGACTTTTTTAGGGTTTTTTTTTTTGCTTTTGCAATAATAATAATAATAATAATAATAAAGAAAAATAAGCAATATAATATAATAGCATCTCCAGCAGTTGCTTTTATCTCGACTTTTATCCCGTATTTAGACTTTTAGCTAAAAGTCATGCTCCCAGCAGTTCATTTTATTTTATCTAATTAGAAATAAAGGATGAAGTTAGATATCACGTTATACAACTTATAACTTTCGTCACGTATTCTCTAACTTACTTGTTTCTCATTAAAATAAAATATAAAGGCTATACTACTTGGCAATTGTGTACCGTACACTATTAACAGTAGGGAAAAGTTATAAAGAACTCAACATAGGCCAATGGCCGCTCCCCCCGAGGGAAGGGGGGACCAAAGCTCCTAGTATATATAATAATACATTTTGGATAAAATATATAAGAGCTGTTTTTTCCTGGCTATACCTATGACTCTTATTCTAGCTCTAGCTATGACTCTAATTCTAACTCTAGCTATCACTCTACTTCTAACTCTAGCTATGACTCTAATTCTAACTTTATCTATGACTCTACTTCTAACTCTAGCTATGACTCTAATTCTAACTCTAGCTATGACTCTAATTCTAACTTTATCTATGACTCTACTTCTAACTCTAGCTATGACTCTAATTTTAACTCTAGCTATGACTCTAATTCTAACTCTAGCTATGACTCTACTTCTAACTCTAGCTATGACTCTAATTTTAACTCTAGCTATGACTCTAATTCTAACTCTAGCTATGACTCTACTTCTAACTCTAGCTATCACTCTACTTCTAACTTTATCTAAGACTCTACTTCTAACACTAGCTATGACTCTACTTCTAACTCTAGCTATCACTCTACTTCTAACTTTATCTAAGACTCTACTTCTAACACTAGCTATGACTCTAATTCTAACACTAGCTATGACTCTAATTCGGCTTCTTCTAGTAAAGTCAGCTGTTAGTAAAGTTAGTTGTTAGTAAATTTATTTGTTCATAAAGTCAATTGTTCATAAAGTTAATTGTTCATAAAGTTAATTGTTCATAAAGTTAGTTGTGAGTAAGGTTAGTTCCCGTTGCTTGTTAGTTCCCGTTGCTTGTTAGTATCTGTTGCTTGTTAGTATGTTAGTATGTTGCTTCTGTTGCTTCCTGTTGCTATAAAAAGATATATATTTGTTAGTTGCTTCTGCCGGGTTTCCCGGGGATTACTCTTCTTGTTACCATTAGAAGAGCAACCCCCGGACTACGGACTTTTTACTCAGACTCGAAAATGGCAGCCGCCGTATGGGCTTTTGGCCAGACGGGGTTCTGCCTTTGCCTCTGTCCCTGTCTTTGTCTTTGTCATTGTCATTGTTTTTGTCTTTGCCTCTGTCTCAGGCTCTGTCTCAGGCTCAGGCTCAGACTCTGCCTTTGCCTCTGTCTTTGGTTCTGGCTCTGGCTTTGTTGTTGTTGTTGTCGCTGCTGCTTCTGCTTCTCTTCTTTTAACCGCGAGTGCTTCCGCCGCTCTTTTTCTAGCAGCGAGCGTCATGGCCTTTACTGCTCTTCTGGGTGCGAGCGTCTCTGCTTGCTTTTGCACTTGAATAGCTTCTTCGGCTGCGACTACTTCTGAGACTACTTCTGCTACTTCTGCGACTACTTCTGCTACTTCTTCTTCTTCTTCTTCTTCTTCTTCTTCTGCTACTCCTTCTTCTTCTACTTCTTCATATTCTTCATATTCCTCATATTCTTCTTCTTCTTCGTCGTCATCATCATCTTCTTGTTCTTCTTCGCTTTCTTCTTCTCCTATTTCCACCTCTATTCCTTCTTGTACAGCCTGTGTGTATGCCATTGCAAGTGCTTTTCTTTTGCAAAAGGCTTCAACTTCTGGAATCATGGCTGTCGGCTTGAGTTCAGAGAGCGGTGTTTGGAAACGCTCAGCCCGAGCTATGTCCTGCTCACGGGCCTTGACAAAAGCCTTGCCCTCGAACCACAATTTCTTTCTTTTAATAAGATGCTCAAGGGCAGGCCAAGAGCCGTCTACATTTGCCGGTTGCCCCTCATACTCCTCCTCCTGGAGTTGCCGCTTAACCCCCCTAGGAATATCTGATAATATATAGAAATTATTGGTATTAATATTTTATCGCTTATCTATTATTATATAAAGACAAAACTTACAAAGCTCCATTGCCGTTCTTTCTTTGAGTGCAATAATGTAGTTAGATTCTTCTGGGGCAGGAATACCCGCCAGCTTCATTAGAATTCGGTCCCTCAGAGGCTTGGGGATCGGCTTGCTAATGGCCTTTTGACCAAACACAAGAGAGCTGTTGCTGGACTTTCTAATGCATTTGCATTTGCTGTTGCATTTGCTGCTGCATTTTCTGTTGTTATTGTTGTTGTTGTTGTTGTTGTTGTTGTTGTCGCTGCTGCTGCTGCTGCTGGTGTTGCTGTACATTGGAGTAAACTAATGAAAAAGCGCAAAGAAGAAAAATAATAATGTGAGAGTGTTCCTTTTTTTAACGCGTTATAATCTTTGGGCCACACACTTTGAGACGTGTTCTTTATTTAAAGTGCAAGTTTTGACCTTTGGGCCACACGCTTTGTAACGTCATCCATTTTTTATATTAACTTGAGCCAATCATTCGCAATTTTGAATGTAGATGTTGGGAATAGAACGATTGAGTTGAGAAAAGTGACTAGTAAGAGACTTTATTATTAGGAAGAGCTTTCGAGCTGTATAGTGTCTAGAGTCGGATTACTGACCTCTTTACAGCCAACTACTATTACTTTTTATTTTTCTCCCTCGTTCTACAAGTTTCAATCTCCTAATGTCGCTGCTTTTCTCTTCCAAATGGCGATGGTCACCAAATACACCCGCCGTCTCAAGTTCCCAAAATCAAGATAAAAACAATCATGATTGCTTGAATACTCCTTCGAATAAGTTTATTCAGGTTCAAGGTTCAAGGTGCATACACATAAACCATTTGTAAAAATTCTTATTCCATTCACGTAAACTGATTAAGAGTTTAGATTTTAATCTATAAAGAGTATATAGCTGAGATTTACTAATTATCTAATATTAATATATCATTTCTCAAAAGCACTATTGATAGTTTCCTTTTTTTTTTGTCGGTGCTGTTTATTGATTAATCCGCCAGATTTTACCGTACGGCTATTTAAAATAAATTATGCAGTTTTTCGTATACACACACTGAGGTACACTGAGGTATTCGGGATTATTATTGAGCTAGTATCTCAATATAGGAAAAAGTAGATGTTTTGAAAGCTTTGTTTATTAAAGCGAGTCAGAGTAATATTACTTATATTTGATACTATTAAAATCCATGTAAATCAAAACCCTGTTGTGTAATGGTTGGTTTGCACTGTACGAGTGTGTAGTGTACGTGTGCCTGGTGCGTAACAGCTCCGGAGATTGTTAACTTGTCAGGTTCATCAGCAAGAAGTAACCAGTGTTTGGTCGTCGAGTATGCACTTCACTCAATTACGGTGTGTATACTACAGTGTCAAATAGTGCAGAGGCATGGTGGTAGAGGGTGATTTGGAATGAGAGGGTATTGAGGATAGTTCGATACCATATATTATCAGATGAGTGAGGGATAGGAAATGACCAAAAGGTGCACCATTGTCGTGGGGTGAGTGGCAAAGAAGCAAGTTAGAGCTTTGAATGGGTTGCGGCATATAGCACAAAAACTATGGGTACCAAGAGTACTAAATAGGGCATATTTTGGATTAAGAGCAGCAACAAATAAAGAACAGGTGAAAGCCAGTGGTTTTGTGGGCAAGTAGAGAGAGGGATGTTAAAGGGGGGATAAGGGTGGCTCTTTCAGTAGAAAAATAGCAAAACAGTTTGGAAATGAGGTATGGAGATGAATTCCTTTCGTTGGGTGATCGAGGACGGACGGCCTCTAACTCCTCATCATATATAAACGTATCAGACGCTAAAATCCTCCGCCAACTTGTTGTAGTACGTCCAGAAGGATCACAAAAATAAAGTAGCCAACAGTGACAAAAGAGAAGTTGCGCGGAATGGGCTTCATTGTGGACAGAACAAAAAATGATGGTGTCGCAGACGTGGAAACAACAAAGGTGGTCGAATATCGCCGTGTGTTTGGGCAGGATGAAGACTGTGTTGTATCCGTGGAGTGAAAAAGGAGCAACACGCTGGTGGATATATAGAGGGCTTTAACCATCGCATGGTAAAGGCCTTTTGTTGGAATTTGGAATTGAGGATTTAATATACCCAATTCGTCTTGTGTCCAAGGAAAACAGAGAGAGGCTAGACTAGCCATGGGTAAAATTTTCTGGTGAAGGAACTGACGCATAATAGACCCAAGTTTATCAAAGAACTTGATATGAGCAATAGTGACATGAAGAACACGCTGCATGCGAGAGAGAATCAGTGTGATAAGAAATGTGGAACGACCAAGTAGTAATAGTGAGGGCTGTGAGTAAATATGACATGCAGATTCAACAAATTGCATGAGTGACTAATAGAACTAGTCTCGTTAAGCTAGAAACAAGATTAAAGGAGACGCTAGGTATGCCAGGACAGATCGTGAAGTGCGATAATGTCATGCAGTAATAGACTTGTCTGGAGAAGAGTTTGCGATTTGGTTGATGAGGCACCAGATAACGAAAAGGCCTGTATCTTACGTAGGTTTGTTTGTGCATGAGAGGCCCGAGAGTATGCGTCCAAGTGTTGGTATATAATAAAAAAAAACTGCAAGAATGTGAAGAAAAACCAAGAAATCATCAGAGTGGGCTAGTATTTTAACAGGTGGTGGTGTAGAGTTGTCAAAAGCGTCAATGTAGATACATGATCCATAAAACGAAGTGCCATGGATCAATCATCAGGGCAAGGGCTCAAAGGCGAGATGGAAGAGTGACAATGGATCTTCTTGGAAAAGTCCCTGTTGTTGCTCTATAGAAGGTGAAATAAATGCATTGTCATTAACAGATACGTCAATAGAGAAGAAAAGTTTGGAAATACAGTGGACAATGATACCAGGAAAGCAAAATCGTTCCAAAGCTCGCTTGAGATATTAAGGATGTACACTATCGTACGCTTTTGCCTGGTCAAGCAACAAACCAACGGAGTCAATGGAGGAGAGTTGTGTCTGTTCCATAGCTATGCGGCTCATAAGCCCATTATTGGTAATTAACTGCCTTTTAAAAAGGCCAGTCTGGTATTGCTTAACCCAGTGACTTGGAGGCGGGTGTGCTACGTAAATTTAGCAAACGGGCGAAGGCTTTGATATCAGTTTTGATTAATGAAATAGGTTTCCAGTTTTTTAAAGTGGAAAGGTCGGCTTTTATAGGTAGCAGGGATAAACAAGTAGAGCTCCAAGATGGGGGAAATATACCATGTAAAAGAGCACGACTATAGATAGTCGTGTCCATGTCGGAATATACATCCTCAGTTAACACTAATAACAGAAACTCATACGGAAGGCCATCAGAGCGAAGAATACTTTTGCGGGGAGATCTATCAGATGCAGAGCAAATTTAGTCAAAGATGAAGGAGGAAGTCATGGATGACCGTACAGTTTAATTAAGATAGACATGTTCAGGAACATTGTGGAGAAAATCGTCAATGGTCGAGTGATCAGTAGGATCAGCGGTATAAACCTCCCCATAGAATGCACTAGCAGCGTCAGCCTTAGTACTAGGCGTACTGCAGGTCGCATTTGAAACAGAGTGGCGTAAAAAAGGAATATGTTTTTGCGCTGTCTTAGTCGCAACAGGTCTCTTGAGGCATCCTGCAGAATGTTCTTCATTTTATCTCTAATATTTCTGTGCTCTAAGAACAAGGATATTTACATGCTCTTGCTTTATAAGAGCAAACTTACGTTCGACAACAACAAGCTGTGTATCTCGGATATGGTAGATCTTGTATTTATGTATAAGTCGATCGAGTTTGCTTTTCATTGCCTTTTCTTATGCAGCACGCCAAGCGGTAGATACCCGAGAAAATGTTTTAGCAACCTGGCAAAGAATAGCCTTGACTTTTTTGCATCTATCTTAAGGGTAAGGTAATTGAGTCAAACTGGGAAAGATACCCTGTAAAGACACAGAGAAGCGTTCTTGGAAATATGAGGGTATTTTCAGTCGAGAGTCAGCACACCATAAACCTCTTTCGGTATGAGCTGTACCGAAAGATAGAGTAATCGTAGTAAGAAAATAATCAGCTCGTATAGGATTGTCGTAATCTACGGAAGGCTCGTATTTGAGGCCGGCTAGACCTGGTGTTGCAAAGTTGTAGTTGATACTACTCATTTGCATTCTTCAGCAGAATTTTGGAATAGGGAGTTTGACCTTCATCAGTGACACAATCAATTAAGGTTTCATGAACGTGGTGCAACCACGGTAGAGATGTATGACAAGGGTATGAAGAAGTAGAGCTGTAAGTATAGTTGAAATGTTTAAGGAAGAGGAAACGAGATGAAGGAGCAGGTTGGCCAAATTGTGTCAATTGAAGAATAGAAGTGGAAAAGGCCCGGGGTCTTGATACTGTTGCAGGAGCATATATGACAGCAATCTTTATAGAGCCAAAATGGTAATGTATATAACGGATAGTAGCAAAAGTAACTCTACCACATATACTATAGTAGGATTAAAAGAAGAAGAAGAAATATAGGACGAGAAGAAAACAAGGCCGTAGTGTTATGTCCATTGGCTCTCGTTTGCTCGAAATTGTATATAAGAAGTTTTTTTGAAGTTTTGGGTTGTTTGTGTGCGTTTCCTAGATTGCAAGTACTTGAATATATTTTGAGCGTAGGTGTCAAATAAAGTAATTACGTTGTTGGGGGTTAAAGGTCTCGGTAAGCCACCGACAGTTGGTTGTTGCTATTTTAAATGTAGTCATCATATTATTATAATGTGAGGGCTCTATTGCGTTTTGCACTGTCTGATAAAATGAATCTCTTGGCTTCATTACGTAAAATTCTCCTTTTAATTTGTTTCTTGGGTTTATTAGATACATTAGTCTGATTTTTGTTTTTGGTCTCGTCAGTGTCGCTCATGTGTGCGTCAGATAGGGCATCTTTATCCTCAGATTCGGGGGATACCACTGTCTTCGCTTAAAGTCCTGGAGACCTGTGAAGCTTTGGCTTCACATTCGCTGTTTGCCAAATTGGCCATACACGCTTCTACAGTGGTTTGATTGCCTGCAGAAATATTTTCTGCCTCTGGCTGTTCCAGAGTCCTGGCCGTTTTCAAAGCTACCTGCTATGCTTGCTGTAGAGGGTGTATCGGTATATAAATAGGATGGAAGGCTGCCAAGCTCGGGGCCTTATCTCCTTTCCGGAGCTTCTGGCATGCATTTATGGGAGGGTCTCGGGGGCAGTGAGCCTGAATATATCCCTTTACCCCACAGATATGGCAGGTACGTTTGTCTTTGCGTCACTCAGGACAGTTATCCACAGAGTGAAGAGTATTTCTACGGAAATTAATATAACCGACAGAACTTAATATCAGTTAAACTTTTTTTTTGATATTAGTACCCTCGAGTGATTGCACTCACAGGACAGGGCACACACATTTTGGTAAGATAATCCACATAACCGTACCCAGGCCACAGCACCACATCAAAAGGACAAATCTTTGCATACTTTCACTGCTCACGAATTTGACAAGAATATGATCGTGGATCTTACATTCGCTGCATGGGCTAGTGCCATCAATCCGACGACTGTCTTGTTTAACATTGAAAAAAGCATTCCTGAAAGATAAATGGATCATGTTCTATCAAACGGTGTAGGTGTGCAGATACTGCTGGAAGAAAAAACACTACCAGCGCACCTCTTTGCAAAACGTGCAGCGCCTTTGGCCATGCAATTAAAAGTCGTGAATGCCCCACTGATCCAGACAACATTGAAGCAGAGTAGATTATCCAAGAGTGGCAGCAGATTGCACTTACAAAAGCTGAGTCCATTTAAGAACGCCAAGTCTCTGTCGCTATGATAGAGACACCCCTACAACAAGCCATCCCAGAAATACTAACTCCTCGCAAAGTACAACCATCCTTATTTCACCTCTCATACTCACAATCCATTATTGTTTCATATTGGTGATAAACACTAGTGCCATGGCGACAAGAAATTTGGCTGCATAGAACATCATTGACCTATCTTTCATAGATATCGCTGTGTATGATCCGCCTGGTCGTGGACTCAATGCCAGAAAACATTTACAGGGTACCCGAGGCTTATTCAATCACAACGATGGCATCAACTAACCGATATTTTCTGATAACAAACATAGAAAGTCTCTTCTTGAGCCCACTTTTCGGATTATCTCCCAAAGCGCAACCTTATACACTGACCTGGATAGTAACACACCTATGACTGATAAAACTGAAAAGTCTGGCCATTCAGATGAGCCAAGTTCATAAATGATTGCACAAAATCTCTGTAAAGAAACCTTAAAAGGTCGAAGTTTCCTCTCTACTATCAAAAACCCGCAATCCCAAAAACTTTTTTTAATTTGACACCTTTGAATATTCTCCCCTCCACTTTCATAACCTGCTCTTCAAGAGACTCATTTACTCCCTATACATCACTTGTATATTCACATTACATCTCAACCACAGACCAGCCTATGGACTATATATTACGACCTCTCCTCTTTCGATTCTCTCCTTTAACTTTCACAACTCTATGTTTAGCCTGAAAACCGTGCACTCGCTGTCAAGGCTAAACACACCAATCATCACCTTGATCCTTTTGTAATTGTGGTCATTTATAGACCGAACATTTCTTCCCACTGGCGTACCTTCTTCTCTTCCTTAGTACGCACTCTTTCTACTGTTATTCTTTCTTTTCCCGTCTTTCGACTTGGAGACTTTAACTGTGATCTCAGTTATTATTGCAGCCATACACCTGACTAGAAAAAATACATACATGACATTGGCCCACTCCTAACACCATTTAAAACTAGTTTAATGGATGATAGATCCATTGCAGACAATGGCTTTCTAGCATATCTCGCTATGTCACATGCATAACTTAACCAAGATCTATGAGTCGACACTCTGTTGGATCAGGATAAGGCTTACGACCGTGTCTACCCTGCATACACTCATTTTTTTATGGCCAGGTAAGGCTTTTCCACCATTTTTGTTGACTCAATATATGGCCTTCTCTTCTTCACTCAAATCCACATAAATGTTAAAGGCCACACATTTTTCCCTTTTCTGCTGAGCAGGGGTCTACTTCAAGGCAATTCACCTATTCCTTGGATTTTCAACTTGGCTTTCAAATATTTGTTTAGATTCATTCTATCTTTCCCTTTCATCTGTGGTTCTCAGTTTTTGTTTCGCTCCGTATATCGTATTCCTCTTCAAATATATCACCACATCCACTTAAACTTAGTGATTATGGATTTGAACTTCTCGTCTTTCTCTCTTCACCCATATAGACGAATGCTCTCATTCTTTTGGACACATTTCGTCTAGCCTTTAATGCAAATGCCAATCTTTGTAAGTCAATTGCTGCTGTTATGTCTGAGCAGTTTCATTTGGATTTGGGCTCTGTACTAGATGCTACTGGCATACACAGCCTTCATAACCGCCACTCTGCAACTGCTATCTATTACCTTGGCTTTTCAATTAGCTCACGCACCTCTTAGCTTGAAGCCTTCTCTGTTGTTCTACTGGTTAAGCTTGTGAACTGCTACTTGCTACAATCCCAAAGATGTTTGTCTGTGCGTGGTGAAAGTATTGTGGTGAATGCACTTGTTCTCATCACAATATGCTATTTACTATATCTGACTCCTGTCCCACTTTCTTTGTTGTCACTCGCACATATATTCGCTCATTCCTGTGCCTGAGCTTTGGTAGCCCTGGCTGACAGCTTCTCTGTCTGCCACGTAAATATGGGGGTTTGGATCTGCTTTGCCCCGATTATTAGCAAAGAGTTCTTTTTCTATGGATTTTCTATATTATACTATGACTCTTTTTCGTTTACCTCCTTTCTATTGCATTACCTCAAATGTCTCATTCCTTTATATTTTAAAACTCCTGCTAATATTGCACTTTTGTTTCCCTGCAGTGATGTAGTTTGCCAGAGTTCACTTCTTCCTTTACATAGCGTGAGCACCACACTCTTTCCAACTTCTCTTCTATCCAACGTACAGCTGCTGTCATCGCTGGTTAAGAATTTTTCTTTGACTTCATTATGAATGTGTATGTCATATTTTGTTGAATCTTCTTTGAGCTGGAAGGCAATTCCTTTACCTGATGCATTTTTGATAAACATAAATGACCAAGATGGTCATTTATCTTTTAGTATCTTCTCTTGAGCAAGTAAATATACTGATCATTCCTCTCAACAGATTGACTCTTTGAGGATGGTATGCTGTTTTTTGTTTCTCTTTTGCCTTGAAAATTGTCTCTCTGCTGAACCTTCTTCTATCGTTCTTTTCTTGTTCCTTTCCTTGATACAGTTGGACATCACTAGTTTGGATGAAGCTAGAACAGGATCTCTCTGGATTTACATTTGCCCAATGGTACCACCATATTTAAATTCATCTGTTCATTGGCGAAAATTCTGGTCTGACTGCATTCCTCATCACTGCCAAACAGTATGCTAGAAAATGCTCTGGGATGAAACATCAACACGACAATATAATAAATTTATCTCATCATTTATTCAGCTCATTTTGTATTTTAGTCCTGAAACTACTGAAGATCAATATAACCTCTTCTCTGGACGTTCTATCAAATAAAAAATGTGGGATACCATCTTCTCATCGCTTCTACTCGTCTTGAGACCTCAATGTCATATCCTTTTTCCTTAGCAGAGGCATTTTCCTATCATGTTTCTCCCATAAAGCCCCCGTATTTTAATTTCCGTCACCACTGCTAAGGATATTTGGAGTTCTCGTTGGAAGCTTTTTTATAAACAGCATTTTCTCTCTGGATTAGTAGATAAAAAGCGTTCTCTGTAATAGAAAAACACATTTAACACTAGCTTTAGTTTTTCTCTTTTCTTTCTCCTTTCTCTTCTCTTACCTACCAATTTTCTATATATTTTCCTATTTCTCCACCTTATTATTTCTCTCTTTTCTCTTCTCAATTAAGTCAAATATGGTGGCATTTTAAGAGATGAATGTAAAACGTAATACCAGATCGATAAAATACAAAAAGAGTACATCTTTGGCAAAGTTC